CAAGGTTGTCCTGCCCCTGCTTCAAGAGGGACTGGCGGGCCTCTACATCAGAGGCCCTGATGAACTCCCCAGCAAGGGTGTCATATGCAGGCAGGCAACCAGGCATACCTAGGTAGATCCCATGTCCCTTTAGCCAGCGCTGGATGGCTCCAACCTTAACTGCCCCAGTATACAGGATTGGGTTCTCAAAGTCCCCATCCTGGAAGAGATAGAAGACCGGGTAGTTCTCTTTGTCCAGCTTGTATTTCTCACTCAGCTCCATATTCAGCTTGTCGCCATAATCTGTGAATGGAAACCAGAAATGAGGAACAAGACCCCGAGGAAGGCATGGCAGGAGGTTGCTGAGGCCTGTCTGAGTTGAGAAGAATTCTGGCTGTCAGAATTCCTCCTCTGCTACTTCCTAACCACGTGGCATTAGTCAAGTCCTTTAAACCTCTCTAACCTTCGTTTTCCTCATCTGAAAAGGGGGAATTCTGCATATTTATTATATGTGCCACTATGTGCCAGGGACTGTCCTCTAAGTGCTCGGGATTTAGTTGTGATTAAGAGTACCACACTCCCTGACCTCAAGAGCTTACACTCTTCAAAGGGTAAGAAGAGAGATAATAAACAAAGGAACTTCAGTGATTAGTGCCATGACAAAAATGAAACAGTGACACAGTGACTGGGTGAGAAGGCCTCCCTGTGAAGGTGACATGAACTGATGGACCCGAAAATGAAGCAGCCAGACATATCAAGATGTGGGAAGAGTGTTTCAGGCAGAAAGGGCTGCAAGTGCAAAAGCTCTGAGGCAGTAATGAGCTGCGTGTGTTTAAGGATTGCGAAGTATAGTCTGGCTGGAGCTAAGGGAATGTGTGGTAGGTAATGAACATGGCCCCTAACATTTGAGGGCTGTTGGGAGGGCCCAATAAGGGGATATGTGCCAATTAACCTGGCAGAGTTAAGTGTTTAATATGTGGTGGTTGTTGTTTTGGTCTTTCAGATGTGTCTGACTCCTTTGCGACCCCATGGACTGTAGCCCATTAAGTCTCCTCTGTCCAGGGATTGCCCAGGCAAGAATACTGGAGTGGGTTGCCATTCCGTCCTCCAGGGCGTCTTCCCGACCCAGAGATTGAACCTGCGTCTCCTCCACTGGCAGGTGGATTCTTTACCACTGAGCCACCAGGGAAGTCCAACATGTGGTAGCTGTTACTATTTGCTATGTCTTTCGCAACAGGCAGTAGCAGCGCCAAGGGCTGACACGATGACAACTAGTTGCTTATACCTCGCCAAGACCACCTATTACTGGGTAGTGGTATAGGAAGTGTGGGGTTCCAATCCTAGGTCTATCACTTTATAATCTTGAGCAAGTTTCCCTAAGCATCCGTTTCTTCATTCGGGGATCATAAAACTTTTCACAGAGTTGCCACAAGGATGACATACATGTAAAACACTTAGCGCAGTGGCCTGGCACATAGTAAACATTTGAGCTGAGTTTCTGTGGTCATAGAATCTGCTCAAGCTAAGCCTGCTGTGGGTACCAGACTCCTTGAAAGGCAATGACCCTATTTACACTAGACCTGTGTGGCTCAGACAGGAAGACGCTGGGGTGTTCTGACAGATAGGGAAGTAACCCCTAGTTTATTCCCCCTCTGCCCTCCTCAGTCATTCCAGACTTATCCATACCTGAGATCCCCACCTCTGCCACCAGGAGATCATCACTGGAAGCTGAGTTTTCAGCCAGACGCTTGAACTCATCCTGCTTCTCACCATAGGGGTACTGGGTGTCAAACTTCACCAGGACGAACTTGCTTTTGGGAATGACCTGAGGGCACACAGAGCTGAGCAAGTGAGGGTTCCCAAGGACGTTTGGGGGTAATTCCGTTTCCCAAGGGACCTCTTTCAGAGTGGAAACCAAGCCCACAGGGGAGATACGCTTTCACAGTCGTTCATTCGTTCCTTCATCCCTCGATTCATTTAACAATTTGATGATGTTTTCTGTGGCCCGAGGACCCCATTAAGTAGTTGCTCACACTAATCAAACTGTCTGCAATAAACAATGCTGCAGACATTCTAAGGCCTCCTCTTCCAGTGGCCCTTTCGGTGAGGCTAAGGAAGCCTACCCTTAGCACACACTAGGTTAGCCCCTGTCATGCCCATCATCCCAGGGACCTTTCCGTAGCAAGGAGCCAACCAACCATCTATAAAGGAGCTGGTACCATGAAAGACGCTCTGGTGAGGAGGTCCAGAGTTTGAACTCTGCAATTTTAGGGTTCACAGGAAGTTGCTGAGAGGCGAGGCTTGGGACAGTGTTCCCTCTCTAAACCAGGTAGATCAGTTTAGATTGGTTAACATAGGCAGTTATGCTAGATCTCTAGGATCTAAGCTGTCAGGATCAAGATTTTTATTTTAATTGTAAAATTTACATCACATAAAATTTGCCATTTTAAAGCGTACAATTCAGTGGAATTTATCGCATTAACTATGCTGCACAACCATCACTAATACCTACTTCCAGAATATTTTCCACTTTCGTCATTGATAAGGAACCACACATCCATTAAGCAGTCATTCCTCAGTCCTCCTCCTAAGTGACCTTTTCTGTGTGGCTTCTATCACTGAGCATAATGTTTTCAGGATTCATTCACGCTGTAGCATGCATCAGTATTTCATTCCTTTTTATGGTCAAATAAATATTCCATTGTATGGATGTATCATATTTTGTTTATCCATGCATCAGTTGAGGGATATTTGAGTTGTTTCTACCTTATGGTTATTTGTGAATAGTGTTGTTGTAAACATTTGTGTACAGGCTTTTGTCTGAACACCTCTTTTCAGCTCTTCTGGGAACATACCTAGGAGTGGAACTGCATATAGGAATTCTATGTTTAACTTAACGAGGAAATGCAAAACTTCACTTTGATGGTTTTACCCAACGCACAGATTTTTATCTAATAAGCTCCCTCAGGTCAATAGCACTGCCTTCCCTCCTACAACCTTTTATTTTTCTAATCAAAGTCATCATGACTGGTTAATTTTTCAACACAGGCAATCACTGCTGTAGTTAAATCAAGCTGACACTATTCCAGTTTTTGTCAGTCCTGTGTTCCTTGTTTGATGTCCATTTGGTTTTAAAAAATATATAACAGTGCCCAGGGACACAAGGGAAGAGGGAGAAGGGTCCAGAACACATAATCTTTAAATGGTCACTGATCCCCAAAAGTCTGAGCTTTGGAGCCTAAAAAGCAGGGAAGACTTAAAAATATAAATCAGATCACATCCCTCTGGCCCATTTGGTCTTATTTTAGTTTCAACAAACATTCTCACTCAGGTCCTTTTCATTTGCTGTCTCTACTGGCTGGAGTGCCCTTTCCCTGGTCCTTTCCATGCTATCAAAGTTGGGTACAAATAAACTATCATAACAGAGAGGCCTCCTGCACTCATACCATCTAATTCTGCTTCCTTTCCATCATACTCTATCATGCTACCCTGCACCAGTTTCTTCATTAATCATTCTCTGAAATCCTTATTTGCTTGTCAGTCCTCTCCACTAGAATATACATTTATGAGAATAAGGACCCTCTCTGACCTGTTTTCTGCTGTATCCCTAGTGCCCAACAGCACCTAGCATGTGACAGATACTCCAAAAATATCTAATAAATGAACAAAGCTGGGGTAGGCTTTGGTAGCAGATGCAACATGTCCAAGGAGAAAATTTTTTTACGAAAACACATGATAACCTACCTTCAAAGGGAGCTCCGTTTATATTATAGAATAATATTAATAATCACGTCTCTGTGTGTGTGTGTATGTTAGGTCACTCAGTCGTGTCCGACTCTGTGACCCCATGGACCATAGCTCACCAGGCTCCTCTGTCCATGGAATTCTCCAGACAAAAATACTGGAGTGCATTGCCACTCCCTTCTCCAGGATTAATAATCATACAGTGGTTTAATACTGAAATAGAATAGAGAGGACTTCATCTTTTATTTTCACCATTTTTAGCCATCACAGAATGATTTTGAATGGCAAAGTGAAAGTAAAAGTCACTAAATCATGTCCGACTCTTTGCAACCCCATGGACTATATAATCCATGGAATTCTTCAGGCCAGAATACTGGAGTGGGTAGCCTTTCCCTTCTCCAGGGGATCTTCCCAACCGAGGGATCGAACCCAGGTCTCCTGCATTGCAGGTGGATTCTTTACCAGCTGAGCCACAAGGGAAGCCCTTGTTTGAATGGCAAACATTGCACGATTAATTTTTTCTTGCTCTTTTACTCAATCTGTACCTTTGAACTGCTTTAGAAATCTCTCTCCTTTCCTCATCCTTGAGGAATCTGCTCCACATTAACCTACATCTAGGCACCTTGTTTCTTCAATGTATTGATGAGTTCATCATCCCTTCATTGAATAAAAAGGTACTGAGAGCCTATCAGTGCCAGGCACTGTTCTAAGTGAACATAAAAGTAAAGGAAACAGACAGGGTCTCTTATTTTTAGTGATCATAAAGGGCAAGAAGCAAACAAACAAAAAACAACACTGGAGATCATAGAAAGACCCCTGGATACAGTAACCCTAGGAAGCTCCCTTTTGTTCTGCAATGATGGAAGAAAGTGAGATTTAGAAACAGACTGGCAAAAACATTTGTTCATTCAACAGATTATTACTGAGCATTTTCTAGGTAACAGGTAAACTGTTAGGTCGTGCAGATGATCAGTGAACAAGACAGACAAGGTAGTTCTTCACAAGTATATAATATTCTAGTGTGGGAGACATACACCAGACAAGAAAAAAAAAATCAGTGATGTGAGTTCAGAGAAATCAGAGCAATGTGACTGGCACTTCAGACTGCACGAGGGGGAAATCTGAGAAAGCTAGTGTTAATCGCGCAGTCGTGTGCAACTCTGCAACCCTGTGGACTGTAGCCTGCCAGGATCCTCTGTCCATGGGGATTCTCCAGGCAAGAATACTGCAGTGGGTAACCATTCCCTTCTCCAGGGGATTTCCCTGACCCAGGATGGAACCCAGGTTTCCTGCACTACAGGCAGATTTTTTCCTGTCTGAGCCACCAGAAAAACCCCTGGAGTGGAGGGGGTGGAGGAAATTTGAAAAGATAACATTTAACCCAAGCCTGAATGAAGAGGAGCAACCAACCTTTCAAAGATTGGGCAAAGAATGTTCTAGTCACAAAGAACTCCAAGTACAAGGGCCTAAGGCAATAAAGAGCTAGGAACAGCCAGAGGACAGAGCACCCAAGTGTGGTTGAAGCAGAGGAGACAAAGAGGTGAATCGTTAAGGTCTGCTGAGAGGAGAGGGAAGAAGGTATCAGATTATGCAGGAATTCAGCTACTGTGTGAGTGGACTGAGAGGCTCCAGAGTGAAAATCTGGAGACTAGTGAGGAAACTACTTAAGATACAGCATAGACTAGGGTGGTAGCTATAAAGATGGAGACACACCAATCAATGAGGAATTGATTTGCATTGACAGTGCGAAGTTTCCCTCTAAGTCACATTTGGTCTGTGATATTACCCCATATCCATGTTTGGGTGGTAGTGGGTTCCCTTTGCCAAGAAAGGCCCCCAAAGCAAAAGGTGCTGTGGGAGTGTGCCTGACAACTAACTGGTCATACCTACACTTTTGAATTCCTGAAACTTTGCATTCAATGAGCCACAGGTGCCAACTCCACAACGGGGAACCCTTTCAAAAATACTTGAGTTCAACCGACTGAGACAGATTTAGAGCTCCACTTCTTGGTTTCACTTCCCAGCAATGGGTACAAATTAAGAAAATAAAACGACTGGCTCTCTCTCAACACTCAGCTTGCCCATCACAATGGGCGAGGTTAAAAAGGTGCAAAATTAGAGGACTGGGACTGCATTTAGCCTTCAACATTCCCAACGGCCTTCTACCCAGGCCAAGACCCCAATCCTGTAAATATGGAGGCAGGGGTAGAGGCGAATCCTTCCATGTCTCGACCAGATTTTATCTGTCACCAAGCCCAAGACATTCACCACAGGGTGGACGAACCGAAACTTATTCTTAAAACCTGCACTTTTTAAGGAGACGCAGAATATCTATACAGTAGTTGCAATCGAAGCCAACGAGAGAGGGGCGCTGAAGCGCAGCCTAACAAGCCGCGCGTTTCGACCTTCGCTCCAGGTCCGCTTGGAGCCTGGAGGCATCCGCCTCGCACCGCCCTCCGGTTCTCCTACTTGGGACTCAAGGATTGGATCTCGCCCGGCACCGCCCTCTTCCCTTAGGCGACTGGAAGACAGCATCCCCGCAGTTCTTCAGCAAAAGAGGAAGCAAATGCAAATACTGCAAAGGTGCTTGGGGGCCCTCGATCATACGCTCTCTGGTCAGGATACGGTCTCGGCCCAGAGTCCGTCAGTCCTACAGGACGGTGGGAAGTCCCCGGGCCGTCGCTACAGACTATCTCCTGCCAGTTCTCAGTCCCCTGCGCCCCCCCACGGGTGCGCGCTCCCCTGGGCGGTCTGGCTGCACCTGCGCGCGAGATCCCTGGCCCCTTTACCTTGTAGAAAGTGACTGTATCCAGGGGAAGGGCGCCCTTGGTGTGCAGGCCACTGCTGTCTTGCGGAGCGGAGAGGAGGAACAGAAGAAGGGGAAATAATGGGGAGAGAGAAGCGGCGCGGGGAATGGCGGCAGCCATGACGCCGGGTTCTGGCAGTAGGTGCTGGGAAGGCTGTAGTGGAGGAAACGCCGAGCCTGGGACCACGCAGTTTAGACGAGCAGGGGCGGGTGCGCGCACGTGTACAGCCCACCAGGCTCACGCCAGCCTAGGCTGAGAGTGAGGAGCCACGTGAGGGGCGGGGAAATGGAGCTGCCGCGCGTGCGCACTCGGCGAAGCCCGCGCGGGTCGAGGGTGAGAGGGCGGGGCCGCGTAGGGGGGCGGGGGCCGGACGGCAGTGCCGGGGAGGCTGGGGGAGGGCATGAGGAAGCGGAGGAGGAGGAGGAGAGTCTGCTGCGCACGCGCACTCTGCGAGGTTGGCCGTCCACCTGGCCTTTTCCGGTCATCCTCCGCGTGAAACGCGGCGTGAAGCTCATGTTCGGTGTGTTTGCAACTTTTCGTTTGCTGTCTCTCTTATTTTTCGAAGGCGACGAGGCAGGCCTTCGTTTGTTTCTGCCTCTAGCCCGTCAGGCAGTCGGCTGGGACCTGTTACTACTCTGTTAATCAGTCTCACTACAACTACCCCTCCGTCAGGTGGCCCAGTATTTTCCTCAGTCAGTCACACTCCGCTCCCTCAGCCGCGACCGGAGTTGGACAGTGAGACTCGACTCTTCGTCAGTGTGGCGGTCAGGCCTTTTCTGCCGCTGCCCCAGTCCGGTATTAGGCTTGCTCTTTGGTGAGTGCCTCACCAGGGAGGCTCCGGGCTCCTATAAAAATAGGCTTCCTTGAAAGTTGACGTAGGACATAGGTCTACCTATGTTCTAGGCTCTCTGAAAATTTTTTTGAAAGTTCTAGTAATTGTCTTCAACCAGTGTTTTTTCGGGGTAGTTTGCACCATATCCTGGTTTTGCCCGCGGGAATACAGAGTGCAGAGCTGTGTACTGAACAGACTCAGTGGTGGGAGGTGGAGAGACGAAATAGCCTTATAACCATTATAATGTAATTGGTAGAAAATAGAACTATTAATTTAGTGCAAACACAAATGGAGATGCAGTCAGCCAGGAGTGTCAAGGAAAGTTCTGGATGGGAAAACCTCTGGTGGCTGGGTCTTGAAAGAAGAGGTGTTTACAAGGCAAACACCGAAGAGTATTTCCAGCAAGGGGGAAGGTATAATGAATCTGTGGCGGTAAACGGGGGTTGTGTTGTTAAGGGTCTCATCAAGATAAAAGGTTTGGAGTCACCAGAGGTTTTATCCAGGAGAGTGACTTAGTTTTGCTGTCACTCAACAATAAAGAGGGTGCATTGGAAGGCAGAAAGCTGAGGGCAGAGAAATTCATTGCAGTAGTCTAGGTGGGAGAGACTAAGATCCTGTAATCGCTCCTAACAGTAAAGATGAAGAGATGAGGATGGGATTGAGAAAATTTTATAGGGTAGAAGTCACAAGACTTGATGAAGAAATGTATGTGCTGATAAAAGAATAAGTTATATAACACACTATAAGGGACTTAACATCAAATTAACCATTGTGGTGTTGTATAGTCACTGAGTCGTGTCTGACTCTTTTTGCCACCCCAGGGACAGTAGCCCACCAAGCTCCTCTGTCCATGGGATTCTCCAGGCAAGAATATAGGGGTGGGTAGCCATTTACTTCTCCAGGGGATCTTCTTAACCCAGGGATCGAACCCCTGTGTGCTCCATCTCCTGCACTGGCAGGTGGATTCTTCTCATTGAGCCTCCTGGGAAGCCAGAGTAACCATTGCATTTGTCCAATAAATGTGTGTGTGTGTGTGTGTGTGCGCGCGTGTGTGTATGTATGTATAAGAGAGTCATCAAAGATAATAGCCAATCTTGGGTGGCCAGTTTAGATAGAAATTTTGAGAGAACCTTCTGTGTATGTGTTGGGAAGGTACAGAAACATTTGAGTTTTCCCTAGTAAATTATTAAATAAAATGTGCCACATAGACAAATGAACAGAAGTTAGAGGAAGGGATAATTACTGTGAGGTAAAGTGGTTTAAAAAGTCTTCATGTAGAAGGTGGAAATGGAGTTAAGCCTTAGAAGAAAGAATGTTTTAGATGAAGAACAAATTAAAAAGGAGAAGTTGTAATGAGCATGATGCTTTGGGGAATGACTAGTTTGGCTTGAAGGAGTTCTTGAAACAGAAAGTTAAGACAGTTTTAAGCCCAGTTAGGGGGAAATCTTGAAAATCAAATGCTGTTTTGTCCTGTAGTCAATGTGTGCATGTGTGCTTAGTCACTTAGTCATGTCTGACTCTTTATGACCCCATGGACGGTAGCCGCCAGGCTCCTCTGTCCATGGGGATTCTCCAGGCAAAAAGACTGGAGTGGGTTGCCATGCCCTCCTCCAGGGGACCTTCCGAACCCAAGGGTCGAACGCAGGTCTCCCACATTGCAGGGAAGCCACCAGGGAAGTCCCCTGTAGTCAATAGGAGCTGTTCACTTCTGAGTATATGAATGCCTAGAGTGCATCCTGTGGTAGGTAGTATGATTGATCAGGAGTGACTTTCTAGTCATGATTTGCTTAGAAGTGGGTTTTGAAAAAAGTGAAAGTGGTTTGGTTGGAGAGGAAAGGAAATGCTGGTACTTTTGCTATGAATTGCAAACATATAGTAATTGTATTAAGCTCCCTTTTAATAATGCCCTGGTCCCAGTTAGTTACCTCATGATATAATTAGATTTCTTGGCTTCAGGACCTTGACAACCATCGTCTACACAAATAAGCCAAGTATAAGTCTCCATATTTAGGAAGTCATAAAATCCCAGTTGACACTTGTGGAAAATCAAAAGGCTTACCCTGGGTCTTGTATGGAGGTAGGAAGGAGGAGGTGGCAAGGCATGTTTCTTTAAGAAGGAAGGAAAAGGACATGGTCTGCTGAGACAACTAATATATAAATTCTCCCATCTTTTTTTCCTAACATCATCAAGCTGATGACCCCCCAATCTCACTGACCTCTTTGCTCTTTCTCCTATACACAAGGCATGTTCCTGCCTCAGAGCTTTTATACTGACTTTCTCTCTCTAGAACAGTTTTTCTTCAAGATACTCATATGCCTGGCTCCTTCATTTCCCTCAAGCCTTTGCTTAAATGTCAACTTCCTAAGATCTACCCTGACCATCCTTGAAAAAATTGGTCCTCTCTAATACCTCCCTGCTTTCCATCTCTCTTCCCCCTTATTTTTTTTCTCCATAGCACTCTTCAACTTAACATACTGTATAATTTTTTTACTTTACTTAGTATCTGTTTCCTATGAAGGATGGGTTTTGTTTTGTTTTTCTTTTTGTTTTGTCTGTTGGGTTCACTGTTCCCAGCACCTGGCACAGTGTCTGGCGCATGGTAGCTGCTCAGTACATTCTTGTTCTGTGAATAAATGAATCAAGTCAATGAGAGAGAAACTATTCCATGCCTATCTTTCAAAATTTCATTGATTCTTTCTTCATTCCCTTCTTAGATCACATATTGTTCTTTGGCACTATCCTCTTACTTAGAGCTAATTGCTTTTACCCTGTAAGGTTTTGGTGATATTAACAGTAGTTCTTTTGACAGAGATGAACACTTAAGGCAGACTTCTCATTAAAGAATTGTTACAGAAGGAAGATTTGCTCCACAGTATTTTCTCCAAGCCCCATACTCCTTTAAGAAGCCTTCAATATTTAATAACCATTTACTGAACATCTTTTACTCACACACTTCTGGAGACAAAGGTTACACTGGTGGAAAAAACAGATGTGCCCCCTGTAGTCCTAGAGGAGAGACTAACATTAAGTACTTATACAAATAAATATACAATTACAAGTCTACCATCCTTTTTCCTTATAAAAATGGTTTAATTATCAATGGCTTTCTACAGTTTCTATGACTTCTAGCAATTTCTACAGTTTTCTACAACTTTAGCAATTTTTCCAGTTTTACATGAACTCTCACATTTCATTCAGTGGTTTATTGGGTTAACTTGCAAGTTTTACCAAAGCCCTGGAGTATAATTTGTTCAGGCGAGGAGTGGTGTATTCATTTAGAGCAGTCAGGTGCTCTCTTACAATGTTTGTCTTCAGCTCCCTCTTACAGTGTTTGTTTTACACTTTTTATTCTAAATATCATTCTTTTCAGTAGGAAAGACAGAAACATGTTATCCATTAATCATTATATCATAAATTTCAGCAATGGGAAATATCCTTCCTTGCTTTTGTCCCAAACTTTGTTTTTTTTGGACATTAGAGTTTTGAGATACAACTTAGATACCATACAATTCATCCTTTTAAAGTTTACAGGTCAGTGGTTTCCAGTAGAATTGGACAACTATTTCCACGAATTAATTTTAGAATATTTTTATCACCCTAAAAAGAAAGCCTGTACCCATTAGCAGTCACTCCCCAGTTCCCTCCCAAACTTTCTTGCCCGAGACAATACTAATCTGCTTTCTGTAGCTGTAAATTTGCCTGTTTTGGACTTTTTGTATGAATGAAATTGTATAATATGTTGCCCTTTGTGATTAGATTTTTCACCTAACCTAATGACTTCAAGGTTCATCCATGATGTAGCATGTATCAGTACTTTTTTAACTGCTGAATAATATTCCACTGTACTGGTATAGCACATTTTATTAACACATTTATGTGTTCACCAATTGATAGACATTTGCGTTGTTTCTACTTTTTGTCTATTATGCATAACACTATTATGAATATTTGTGTCAAAATTTTTGTGTGAGCATAATGTTTTAATCTCTTAGGTGTATACCTAGAAGTAGGACTGGGTTTATACCTAGGAGCTGAGCCACACAGGATATATTTAACCTTTTGTGAAAGTGACAGAGTGGCTGCAATATTTTACATATCCATCAGGAATATATGAAGTTTCCTGTTTCTCAGCATCTTCATCTACTTGCTACTGTCTTTTATTATAGCCATCCTAGTAGGTGTGAAATGTCATCTCATTGTGATTTTAATTTGTATCTTCCTAGTGGCTTATGATGTTGATCATCTTTTCATGTGTTTATTGGTTATTCTGGGATAAGCCTCTAATTTTAAGCCTTTGCCTATGAATTCCCTGGTGGTCCAGTGGTTGAGGCTTTTTGTTTTCACTGCCAGAGCTCAGGTTGGATCCCTGGTTGGGGAACTAAGATCCTACAGGCTGTGAAGTGCAGGAAAAACAAAATAAAACCTGTTGCCAATTTTTAAATTGGATTGTATTGTTGAGTTATAGGAATTCTCTATCTATATACAAATCCCCTTATTAGACATATGGTTTATAAATACTTCCGTGGGTTGTCTTTTTTACTGTCTTGATGGTACCCTTTGAAGAACTAAAGTTTCTAATTTTGAAGAAGCCAATTTATATATATATTTTTCTTTGGTTGCTTGTGCTTTTGTTATCATATCTAAGATGAAATTGTCTAATAAAAGAATTCTCTTGATGTCCCATTAATTTTTTAAATGACCTTTCCCTGTTTTCCCATTAATCAGTTTCCTATTAGTAGCACTAATAGGAAAGAGTAAGAACTGTGATCAGACTGACTGAGTTTGAATGTAGGTGTTATCACTTAATAATTCTGTAATCAGAAGGAAAATGACTCAACAACTTTAAGCCTCAATTTCTTCATCTGTAAAATAGGGATAATACTTCTTACCTCAAAGATTGTGTTGAGGGTTAAAATGCTTGCATAGAAAGCACTTGATAATTGGTAATGATTATTATTAGAAATTTTCTTTAAGTACTATTTTTGTTTAATTAAAACACTTTATTACATAGGTTTTTTTCTTGACTGTACCCACTGCAGTAACTTGATTATGGTAGAAATTTAGTGAATATCTGTTAAATTAAATTGATATGTCATATATACTAGTAGGGCTTCTCAGGTGGTGCTAGTGATCAAGAACCCACCTGCCAGTCCAGTAGACTTAAGAGACTCAGGTTCAATCCCTGGTTTGGGAAGATCCCCTGGAAGAGAGCACAGCAACCCGCTCTAGTATTCTTGCCTGGAGAATCCCGCAGATAGAGGAGCCTGGCAGGCTACAGTCCATAGGGTCACACTGAATCAGACATGACTGAAGTGACTAAGCACACATGCACATATACTAGTGCAGAAGAATGGATGCTTTTGAACTGTGGTGTTGGGGAAGACTCGAGAGTCCCTGGGACTGCACGGAGATCCAACCAGTCCATCCTAAAGGAGATCAGTCCTGGGTGTTCATTGGAAGGACTGATGTTGAAGCTGAAACTCCAATACTTTGGCCACCTGATGTGAAGATTTGACTCATTTGAAAAGACCGTGATGCTGGGAAAAATTGAGGGCAGGAGGAGAAGGGAACGACAGAGGATGAGATGGTTGCATGGCATCACTGACTCAATGGACACGAGTTTGGGTAAACTCTGGGATTTGGTGATGGACAGGGAGGCCTGGCATGCTGAGGTTCATGGGGTCGCAAAGAGACACGACTGAGCAACTGAACTGAACTGAACGTATACTAGTAGCCCATTACATTGCAAACTGGGATGTGTTTTAACTTGCTAAGGAGCTAAGTAAAAAGAAAAGAGAAAACTGAAAATATCTATCACCCACTTCATCATTTGGGCTTGGATTAGCCCTTGTAGAAAAGGATTTGGGAGGATTATGTTTCCAAAGACATTTCAGAGTGGGGAAACAGTGCTAAATATACAGGCAGGGGATTAATTTATAGAGAAAAATATAAAAGTAGAGCCCCAAATGTTGGTTGGTGGCATAAGTCATTTTAGAAGAGAGGCTGAAAGAGAAAAATTCTCTTGCCAAGAGTAGCAGACTGATTTGCCGTGACTGTTCTCTGAACAGTTTGACATTTGTTCTTGACTGAGACAGGAGTCCTTTGTTCAAAAGCATTCTCTTATCACTTGGTAAGACTGTCATTAGTCCCTCACCCTTATTAGATAGATGTGTGATTAGAGGCCTCAAAACACTCCCTAAGACCTTATGGTAGGAGTTTCTGATCCAGAAATACACTGGTATTTTAATTTGTTTATCTAATAATTTAAGCAAAGTGATTAGAGCCTACCTCCACTTAACAATGTCCTGTCTTCCATTGCACAAGATATTCTTAATTTCATGTGAAAAAATGAGTAACATATTTAAGTTACTCATGATTAAATTTACATTATCATTAAATATTTGTGAAATGTCTGAGGGAATGGTTAGATGAAATATAAATAGTTATGTAAATGAAATATTCTTCCTTCTGCTTTCTCCTTACCCCAATTTTTGTCCAAATTTTTCTAGTTCTTCCAAATAATGTTCAAATGACAATCAGTGTACATTATTTTTTGTGACAATTATTCAAGATTTTGGAATTCAAGTTATTTTTCTTACTATAGTATAAGATCCTGGAAGTCTAGGTCTGTATCTTTTTTTGTATTTATATATGTTATACCAGTGTTTTATACAAAGTTGATATAATATTTAAGAAAATGTTAATAGTAAATAAATATGAGACATTAATAACCCCTTCTTCTTTCACATCTTTTCCAGATACTACTAAAAACTTGTTAATTGAGTGAATATACAGTCTCTCTTTCCCAATATAGGCTATTGTCCCTAAACAGGAACATATTTCAAACAGAACTCCCTTCTTCCCTGTTTTTCTCTCCATTTTTTCTATTCCATTTCTCCCTTGCAGCTCCATTTATCTTTTCTTAGTGACTCATTCTGTGTACTTTTTATTATTCCTACCTCTTGCCCCTTCTTATGCTTTTTAGAACTTTGTTTCCCTGTCACCTGCTCATTCTGTTTTTGTTCTTTCTGCTTGGCTTTCTCCTCCACTTCTCACTACTCTCTCTCCTTGCCCTCAAAATACAGGGCAGGATTGGGTAGGGAGGAGCCCAGCTGGGTTAAGGGTGGAGCTACCTGTTTACTGCTTGGAAGTCAGAACCTGAGCAGGAAGGATCAGGCTGCTTAAATTTGGCTGAGGCTGAGGCCCGTATGGCCTTCCTCCTGGAGACGAGCATTTTGGAGGACAGCTGGGATTTGGTGAGACTAGGAGGAGCCCCTGCTGCTTTTTTGTCCCCTTACTTCCTCCCTGTTCTGTGTTTTTCACAAACAGTATCTCTCTCCGTACAATTAACTTTTCTTCTTCCTTTCCCCCTGTTGCTTACTATTCTGTGTTTTCTCTGTCTGGCTCTCTGTCAGTCAACTTCATTTAGTGTCTATTTGCCTTTTCTGTTACCCATTCTTTCCACTTACCTGACTGTTCTCTCTCAAAATTTAACTTTTTCTACCTCTTCTCCAGTTTATTCCTGACTTTATTAATTTTCTCATCCAACTCTTTTTTTATTCAGTCATTTTCTGTCCACCTCTCTATTCTTTTTATCTTAGTGTTTCCCAGCAATGTAGCGATAAGGGAGGAAAAAGGGCCAACCTGGCTTTCCAGGGGCCTGTTCACCCCTTCTACTCATTTTCAGACCTAGCATGTTTTGATTAGGTAATGAAGGGTTTGTGCTCTGCACAGATAGTTAATAAATAGTGAAATTAAAGTTAAGGTTGAATATTAAAATTTAAAGACTTCATTTTATTCCCATTTTCTCTTATTTAGTTTTTTTCTGCGATACAGTGGATACAGTTTGTCATGGCCACTCTGAGGTAAGTCTGTTTAATCTCATGTAATGTGACTGTTTAAACTACTGCAAGCAGAACTGGAGAATTCTGTAGTTTCTATATCTCTGCCTCTACCCCCTGGGGATTTACTTTTATTCTTTAGAGAGATATGCTCTTCTTTACCATGCTGATTTTTTCTGATTAATAAAATGTAATAACATCAACAATTACAATAATAAAAAACAGATTGAAGAAATCAAAGGACATTCTGGTCAACAGGATTGATTTTCAAAACCAGTTGCAAAGTGCTCACTTTGGTAGCCCATATACTAAAAATTGTAACAATACAGAGATTAGCATAGCCCCTGCTTAAGGATGACACACAAATTCATTAAGCATTCCATATTTTTAAAACTGTGCAGTTTATTTTATATCAATTATATGTCAATAAGTATATAAAAACATAGCAAAAACAAAGGAGCCCAATTGTCCTGTTTAATGATAATCTTTTATCTCTGTCAGTGTTGTAGGTTCAAGTTCACTTATTGCCTATGCTATATTCCAGAACATACAGAAATCTCCAGAGGTAAGCAATCTGTTTTTGTGTTGGATTTGAATTTTCAGTGACTTAGCCTTTGAAATAAATGAGATAGGTGTCCCCTGTAAGTGATGGAATAATTCTATAAATTGCTTGTAAATTTGTCATTTTGATACATTGGGATGCTTTAGACATTGCCAATAGATCTCCCTTTTCTTTTAGGTAGTTATTTTAACTATAATTTTTAATACTGAAGAATTGACTAGATATGGATTGGTGGATAAATGTAGATTTTTTTGGAGTATGCATTAATTATTAAAGTCAAGGAAATGGAGTGTTGTTTGAAGCCTATAATTTGCTCTAGGCATGGTAGGGTCCTGCCAGGAGGTGAGTTTTCTGATGTTGATATCTTGGTAAAATTGCTATTGGGGCTGGAAATAGTTCAAAGACTGCTATACAAAAGATATTTATTTTGCTGTTCTGGCCTTCTGGCAGTTACATTTAATGGTGAAAATAGAACAAAAATACATCCTGTGTAAAACTAATCATACCAAAAAAAATCCTTCCTTTTATTGAGATGTAATTGACAAATAAAAATTGAATATTCTTAAGGTATTAAAAAAGACCAACCAGGGAGTTCCTTGATGGCCTAGTGGGTACGTTTCTGGGCTTTCACTGCCTTGAAAAAATATTTTAAGAAAAATGTAAGAAAACTTTTTAAATCAGGCCAGGTGGCACAAAATTAAGCAAAATGTAATTTAGAACATGTATTAGAGAGCTTTTGTAATGTAGAAAATGTCATTAGGTTTTTTATTTGACCCACTTTAACTCTGTATGTTAAATACTTTATCTTGTTGGTCCTCATCACTGTCCTATGAGAAGAATGGTATTAGCTCAGTTTTGCAGATAAGCAAATTGAGGCTCAAAGTCATGAAATAAGTTGTTCAAGTTACACAGTAAATAGCAGAGCAGGGATTTTTCAAAAGTCTAACTCTTAACTACAATCCCCCTTCAAATTAAATGCAATTTTTCATAATTATTATATTATTGGTACATATGCCCAGTATTTTAAATACACTCTTCAGGACTTCCCTGGTAGTCCAGTGGTTAATACTGCGCTTCCTCTGCAGTGGGTATAGGTTTGATCCCTGATTGGGAAAGTTCCACCTGCTGCTTAGGGTGGCCAAAAACAAACAAACAAAAAACATCTTTCATTTAATCCTTAAAATAATCCTGTGAAGTGAAGTCTCTCAGTTGTGTCCAACTCTTTGCGACCCCATGGACTGTAGCCTGCCAGGCTCCTCTGTCCATGGGATTTTCCAGGCAAGACTACTGGAGTGGGTTGCCATTTCCTTCTTCAGGAGATCTTCCCAACCCAGGGATTGAACCCAGGTCTCCTGCATTGTAGGCAGATGCTTATATTATTAGTCTGATATTATAGATGGAGAAATGGAATCCTTATTAAATTGATGGATTTTCCTAAGGTCTCATAGCTAGTAAGTATTAAAACTAGAATTTGGGTGCAGACTTACCTTGTTCCGAAGCCTCTCCTCACCTGTATTTTTTTTAAGATTTTTTTTTTTTTTTAATGTGGACCATTTTAAAAGTCTTAATCGAATTTGTTACAATATTGCTTGTTTTATGTTTTGGTTTTTTGGCCCTGAGGCATGTAGTATATTAGCTCCCTGATCGAAACTGCACCCCCTGCACTGGAAGGCAAAATCCTAACCACCGGACCACAAGGGAAGTCCCTCTCCCATACACTTTTAAACCACTGAAATATAATGCCTAATGAAAAGAGAATTTTGAATTTCAGAGATAGAATGTGGCTATGTAAGTAAAAACTAGAAAGTAGAAGTCTTGATACTATATTGTTAGTTGCGTGCCAAAGTGATCTTAGGCCACACGTCTTCCTGTGATGTGAATTTCCTTAATGTTTGTTTCCTGGATGTTCATTAAAATTTTCATTCAGGTGTGATTAAGTTAATAAAATATAAGTTACATAGAGAGGGGTAAGCAGAGATTCTCATCTCAGCCACTATTGACCTTTGGGATTATATGGTTATTTGTTGTAGGTGGCTGTCCTGCATCTTAGGATGTTTAGCAGACTTTACCTGTTGGATGTTGCAGAAACCTTCTTCACCCAGTTGTGACAACCAAAATTATGTTCAAATGTTGTCAAATGTCTCCGGGAAGAGACAGTCACTCCTGGTTGCAAATCGCTGCTCTAGGGTGACTTCTGCCATGACAGTGGGTTAGAGCTTTATAAAGATGTGGGGTCTAGTTTGGCCTGGGGTGCAACCTTTAATTTCTCTGGCTTCAGTGCTCATACCTTTCACATAACCAGAGCCCGAAGGACCTTAGTAATTATTAATTCAGTAGTTCCTACACATTCTGTTTTCTTGGTTTAGGGAAGATTCCAATTTTCCCAGCTTAAAAATGTCAGTCATACTGCTGCTGCTGCTACTGCTAAGTTGCTTCAGTCGTGTCCGACTCTGTGCAACCCCATAGACGGCAGCCCACCAGGCTCCCCTGTCCCTGGGATTCTCCAGGCAAGAACACTGGAGTGGGTTGCCATTTCCTTCTCCCAACTGTGAAAGTGAAAAGTGAAAGTGAAGTCACTCAGTTGTGTCCGACTGCAGCCCACCAGGCTCCTCCGTCCATGGGATTTTCCAGGCAAGAGTCCTGGAGTGGGGTGCCATGGCCTTCTCTGGTCAGTCATACTGCACTGTTTTATTTATTTGTTACATCACATTTTTAACAACAAAGACACATGGAGGCGTAATCTGAAAAAAAGATAATTACTAAATTAATAATTATGATAAATTGGAGAAGTCCATGGGAAATCTTTGAGGGGACTAGCTGATTAGACAGTGACTCAGAGAGGCAACCTTAAAAGAGAAGAAAGTGGCTTAGGTCAGCCAATGTTAAAAAAAAACAAAAGGCAGATGTACTTCACTACACTTGTATGACTTCATTTCCTTATGAAGGTCACTTTTGACATTCTTTGTAACCTGATTTCACTAGAAATATTGGGAAGCAGGGTTTTGGAAGAGTGTTAATATGGATTGCTTTAGGTATTTTACCTTACCGGGTAGACCTGGACCCAGAACCTTCTCAGGGAAAGTCTTTCACATAATGCATCTGTCTCTGCATTTTATTTTGCTCTTGATTTTAATTAGACAAGTATAAATAAATGGTTTTTTTTTCAAGATTTTTCTTTCATGTTTAGGATCATTATTAAGCTTTTTCATGACTTTCTTAACTGCTATGCTGATTGTATTTTTATTGAAACATTTTTTATTAAAAAAAAAATTTGGCCATGCCACGTGGCATGTGGGATCTTAGTTCCCTGACCAGGGATCAAACCAGTACCCCTTGTAGTGGAAGCATGGATTCTTTACCAGTGGACCACCAGGGAAGTACCTTTTTAAAAAAGTTTTAGATTTTTTATGTTTTGTATTTTTCTTAAAGTTTGGTCTCTATCATACATTTCTTTGTATTATCTTTTATATAGTATCTTGTTAAACAGAAGGGGTGACATGTTTTTTTATTTCAATAATGGATGCATCAGTTTTGTTTTTGAATGGTATACACTTTATACATATATATTTTTAGAAATATTATTTATTTATTTGGCTGCTCCTGGTCTTAGTTGCAGCACATGAGATCTTTTAGTTGTGGCATGCAAACTCTTAGTTTCGTTATGTGGGATATACCTGGATCGCCTGCATTGGGAGTTGGGAGTCTCAGCCACTGGCCCACCAGGGAAGTCTCAGGTTTTGTTGTTTATTTGATTTTGTCTCCTGTTACTAGAACTCATGATTTTCCAACCATGAGTGAAAGTATATAAACCTCTTTTTATCCTTTATTTCTCCACGAACGACCTTAGGTATGTTTTAATGACCAGCGGTTCCCTATGTTTAAGGTTATTTGTTGAATCATTGACTATAATTATGTTTTTGCTCACAAGAGCTGCTTGGTTGCCTTTCTGCTCCAGAGTTTATTTTGTATTCTGTTTTAATTTTTTACCCATTAACAGTTATAAACTTGTGGTAGGTCATAGACCAGTAGAATCTGTGAAAGAATTTAGTTTTTGCATTTTTGAACTTAATATAGATGGGATAACACTGTATTTTTGAGGATGTATTGCTTTGTGATTTGCTTTTTTCCTCATTATTACTTCTGAGATTTGTCCATGGTGTTGTGTATAGCTCTGCTTCATTTCTTTCTCATTGATGTTTAGCATTCTGTATTATGAACATACCACAGTTTATCTATCTGTGCTAGTATAAACAATCTGGTAGGTGTCTTCTGATGCCCACATGCAAAAATTTCTCTAATGTATTTACCTAATAATAGAATTGCTATAGGATATGGATATCCCGTAGATACTGCCAAGTGTTCTTCAAATGGTTGTGCCAGCAGTGTATGAAATGTCTTATTGCTTCATGTTCCCCTCAGTATTTGATATTGTCAGACTTTAAAATTTTTTGCCATGGGTGTGTAATTTTTGTCCCACTGTAGATTTTTTTTAAAAACGGAATTTCATTTATTTTTGACTGTGCTGGATCTTCGTTGCTAAATGTGGGCTTTCTCTAGCTGCAGTACACAGGGGCTATTCTCTAATTGTGGCTCACAGGCCTAGTTGCCCTGAGGCATGTAGGGTCTTAGATCCCAGACCAGGAATTGAACCTGTGTCCCCTGCATTAGCAGGCAGATTCTTAACCACTGGGCCACCAGGGAAGTCCCTGTCTCATTGTTGATTGATTGATTTGACTTTTGGTCCCCTTGTAGTTTATGATTGATTGACTTTGGTCTCCTTGTAATTTTAATTTTTTAATTTCCTTGATTACTGATTGGGTCAGATGTACTTTCACAGGTTTGTGGTTATTTGAATTTCTTTCTTAACTACCTATTCAAATCTTATGTCCATTTTTTTCTATTAGTTTTTCTTATTGCATTTTAAGCGTTTTTGTTTTTAATATTGTTTGGACACTGTTCCTTTGTTAGTCATATGTGTTACAAAGATCTCCCACTTTGTAGCTTGTCTTTTCACTTTCTTTATGGTATCTTTTTACAAACATTTTTCATTTTAATGTGGGCAAATTTTTAACTATTTCTTTTAGAATTTTGTTTAGGAAAAACTTTCCCTAAAATTGAAGACATTCTTCTATATTACCTTTAAAAACTTTTTAAAAAACCTTTATAGATTTTTGTCTTTCACATTTAGGTCTTTGAACTATTTGAGACTAATTTTTTGAGTGTGTGAAATAGAAAGTTCAGGCCCAATTTCATTTTTATCCATATGGATACCCAGTTGTTCTAGTATCACATTTTGAAAAGCCTATTCTTTCTCCACGCAGAAAGCTACCTCGTCATGTATCAAAAGTTTATAAATCTTATATATATATATATATATTTGCATGCTTAGGCTTGTTTGAGACTCCATTCTGTTCTGTTGATCTGTTTGTCCATCTCTGGGCTAATACCACTGTATCTACTTTATATTGTATCCAGCTTTATATTGTTTGGTATGTGTAAGATAAGTCCTCTTTCTCCTTTTTCTTAAAGAATGTCATGGTTAACTTGATATTTTGTGTTTCAGTATCAAATTTAGAGCCAACTTCATCAAACTATACAAGAAAATATGTTGAGATATAATGATTTACATTTAATCTGTGTATCAGTTAAAGGAGAACTGACATTTTCATAATACTGGATCTTACAGTTCATGAGCATTCACCTTATCTTTGGGGTCTTTTAATAAACATTTTATAATTTTCTCCATGGGGGTCCAAAACTGTTTTCAAGAAAGTGGGAGGGTGTAGACCAAAAGGAGAAGGATACTAGAAAGTGAGGCAGACAAACTTCAGAATGTAGTTAGAAATTGAAAGACAACATATATAATTCTTGCTGGTATTTTTCTCCATCTTGACTTTCATTAATATGAAAGCCTATAAGATGAATAAAATCTTAGGATCTTATACATAACCATGATAACCATAGTTGATAACACTATATTGTATAATTGAAATTTGCTCAGAAAATAGAATGTAAATGTTAAATGTTCACACACATTTATGTTATATAAATAAATATGTGAGATGATGGATGTGTTCATTAGCTTGAGGGAAATCCTTTCAGAGTGTATATATACATCAAATCATCACATATACTTTAATTATCTTATAATTTTGTCAGTTACACATCAGTAAAGAAAAATTGCAAATTAAACTATGTGACAATTTAAAAACACTTGTTTTCATGTTCTTTGTGTTCTTAACCATATCCTAAAACACTCAGATATCATTTCTTACTGTTAGAAGATGTTGGCTCTGCAGCTAAAACACTTAAAATTTCCCATTTGAGGTATGTCTCCATTACAAAATTTTTCATTTTTTCGTTCTTTCCTTTGACCCTGTATGTGAGGAAGGAATGTCTCTTTGAGAGAGAAGTTCCTCTGGTTGCAGAACAGTTGGAATAATTGAGATTACAGACTCCTTCCTGCCTGGATTATTCATTTAGATTCCCTACAGTTAGCCAGTAGCAGAGGCCCCAGAGAAATTGTGCCCAGTTTTAAACGAGAAAGGTTAAGCATAATTGATTGTTACATTCTTTTGACTGCATCATTTTTGAAAGTATGAATTTTCTTGCTTTGACAGAGAAGACCACTCTTTTACCTGAGCTTCTCTGACCTCCTCTTGGGGATATACTGGCTCACTGAGGCACTTCTCTATGGAACTTCAACAGCCAATAAGGACATTGTCTGCTATAACCTGCAAGTAGTTGGACAGGTGAGTACTACTAGATTGAGACAACATCTTATATGAAAGGCACACTCTGATCTAAGTAAGAAGTGAAGATAACCCATCCTGGGAAGTGGGACCCTTTTATTTATTGTTACACTTTGAAATAATAGCTTTTACTGTTTTTCCACATTAAGAAAATACTTACTGTAGAAAATTTGGAAAATATGGAGAAGCAAAAAGGTAATTAAATCACCCAGATATAATTACTCTTTAATATTTTATGTATATTATGTATTTTCAATCTTCTCTATAGATGAATACATTTTAGAGCTAATATAATATATTAATACTCTTATAATCTGCTCTTATTATTCAACATACTCTGACCATATTTTCATGTAATGGAGTATATTTCAACATCTTTTGAGATTATTGCATTTTTTATTAATATAATGTTGACTTTTAGAAATACTACATATGATTATATGTAAGTTATATATCTTTCATAGATTTTATCAGTGGATTAACCTACCTAGTACTACCAGTATATAATGCTTCTGAGACTTAGGATGTGAAAAAAGTAGAGGCTAATGTGCAGTCTATACTCACTGTTGGTTACTTCCTCTGGGAGTTGTTGCTAGAGGGGAAATTTGTTTTAATTTAGTAGGAAAATACTGATATGTAACTAGTGATATGAACTCCAGGTACTAATAATATGTTACCTGTCTTGTATGAATTTAAGTATCTTAGAGACATACTTTATTCAGTCCTGCTTATAACCTCATAAATATGGTTAAGGCTGTATTTTCTCAGGTAATAATAAATTATTATATTATAATATTATAATCTTTGTTGTTCAGTCGTTTCAGTTGTGTCTGACTCTTTGCGACCTCATGGACTGCAGCACACCAGGCTTCCCTGTCCATCACCAGCTCCCGGAGCTTGCTCAAACTCATGTCCATTGAGTCAGTGATGCCATCCAACCATCTCATCTTCTGTTGTCCCCTTCTTCTCCTGCTTTCAATCTTTCGCAGCATCAGGGTCTTTTCCAATGAGTCAGTTCTTTGCATCAGGTGGCCAAATATTGGAGCTTCAGCATCAGTCCTTCCAGTGAAAGTTCAGGGTTGATTTCTTTTAGGATTGACTGGATTGATCTCCTTGCAGTCCAAGGGACTCTCAAGATGATTCTTCATTCAGCACACAGTTTGAAAGCATCAATTTGGAGCTCAGCCTTCTTTAGGGTCCAACTCTCACATCTGTACATGACTACTGGAAAAACCATACCTTTGACTATATGGACCTTTGTTGGCAAAGTGGTGTCTCTGCTTTTTAATATGCTGTCTAGGTTTGTCATAGCTTTCCTTCTAAGGAGCAAGTATCTTTTAATTTCATGACAGCAGTCACAGTCCACAGTGATTTTGGAGCACAAGAAAATAAAGTCTGTCACTGTTGCTATTTTTTTCCCCATCTATTTGCCATGAAGTGATAGGATCGGATGCCTTATCTTAGTTTTTTGAATGTTAAGTTTTAAGCCAGCTTTTTCACTTTCCTCTTTCACCTTCATCAAGAGATTCTTTAGTTCCTCTTCACTTTCTGCCATAAGTGTGGTGTCATCTGTTTTTCTGAGGTTATTAATATTTCTCCTGGCAATCTTGATTCTAGCTTTTATCCAGCCTGGCATTTCACATGATGTACTCTGTATATAAGTTAAATAAACAGGGTGACAATATACAGCCTTTGATGTACTCCTTTCTTAATTTTGAACCAGTCCATTGTTCCATGTCCAGTTCTAACTTGTTTCTTGACCTATATACAGGTTTCTTAGAAGGCAGGTATGGTGGTCTGGTAAAATTCTCTTTAAGAATTTTCCACAGTTTGTTGTGATCCACACAGTCAAAGACTTTACCGTAGTCCATGAAGCAGAAGTTTTTCTGGAATTCTCTTGCATTTTCTGTGATCCAGTGGATATTGGCAACTTGATCTTTGGCTCCTCTGCCTTTTCTAAATCCACCTTATACATCTGGAAGTTCTCAGTTCATGTACTTTTTTTTTTCCATTTATTTTTATTAGTTGGAGGCTAATTACTTTACAATATTATAGTGGTTTTTGCCATACATTGACATGAATCAGCCATGGATTTACATGTGTTCCCCATCCTGAATCCCCCCTCCCACCTCCCTCCCCATTCCATCCCTCTGGGTCATCCCAGTGCACCAGCCCTGAGCACTTGTCTCCAACCTGGACTGGCGATCTGTTTCACACTTGATAATATACATGTTTTGTGCTTGAAGGCTTTTGAGCATTATCTTACTAGAAAAAAAAAATCTGCATTGGAATCCTGGACTTGATTAACTTTGTGACCTTAGGCAAGTACTTCATCTTTCCGAACTCAGTCTCCTAAATCTATAAAACTGTCACTAATAACAATTACCTTGTGTTTGGCACAGATGTGATTAATGTTACTTTATTTTTTGAACTTTATTGAGCTATATATTAAAAAACTACATATATTTAAAGTGTACATTTTTTATATATGTATGAAATCCTCACCGCAATCAAGTTAATAAACATTCCTATTTCTGTCACCCCCTAAAATTATTTCAAATGTTTTTTCCCTTAAATGCATTGTAAATAGTTGCTTTTAAAACTACTGGCTGGGGAGAAGGAAATGGCAACCCACTCCAGTATTCTTGCCTGGAAAATCCCGTGGATGGAGGAGCCTGGTAGAATACAGTCCGTGGGGTCATGAAGAGTCGGACACGACTGAGCAACTTCACTTACTTTCTTTTACACAGGATTAAAGGAGCCTCCATGATGACATTTGGTTCCTCCTGAACTCATTTTTCTCAAGCCTTGAGCTGCTAATGGCTCAGCAAACCAATACATCTTCCTCATGAAAATGTTTTTCTTAATAAGCTATATTAATGAAACTCTATATTTGCTTGGAAATCTGCCTGTCTTCAAGATTCATGTCAATTGTTTTATGGCCAGAGATGACTCCCTTTGTGCCAATTCTGTCTCAAAATGCTTGCTAACCAGTATAGAATGCTTTGCTAAAAACTAAAAACGATCTCAAAATACTTGCTAATCAGTATGTAGTGCTTGCTAAAAACTAACAAGAGGGCACTGTTTGTGTCCCCTTCTGATGTCTGTGTTGGAAGCTTTCTCTGTCCCTTTGCACTTTAATAAAATTCTGCTATACACACACACACAAATAAAGATGCTGTTTGGATGGTTCCAACATCTGGCTCATTTCTGAGTTGATGTTTGGTGATTATCTTCTCCCATGAGAGTCAGTGACATTTTCCTTTTCTTTATATATAGAATGTAATTATCATCTCATCATCTTCAGGCAGTGGTTCAGATCTCAGTCTATTTCTCTAAGCCTTGGCTGTGCAGTTTTGGGACCACCATTCTTATGCGTGGTGTAGGGGTTAGGCTGAAACTTATCTGGAATCACACACAGAATCAGAGCATCCTCATTTCTGACTCTTACCGTTTCTGGGATTCTCCCCATGCTTTTCCACACCTTCCTACCTGATGGGAGCCCTTCTCCGGTTTCTGTAGCCTAGAGGATGGGTTTCTATTAGAGTTTTAGGTGCCTACATTGAGTAGCATCACGATTGGGGCACACATTTGAGGCAAAACTGTGAGAGAGAAAAAGTTTGGGAAACTTATTTCTGTGCAGTTCACTTCTTCACATTTGACTCCCTTCTGTAATCCACTTGCTTTTGTTTACTTTGCAGAGTCCTCAAGTAATTAATTTTTATATTTTTACCAGATAGTTTTTCTTTGTAATCAGTGGAAGGGATGACCTATAGAGGCTTAAACACAGTAGCTTATTTATTTAATGAATTAGTTGTAGTTTTTGAAATTGTGGTAAAACACATTTAACATAGAATTTTCCATTTAACCATTAATAAATTTTAGGTTTTGGTAAAAATACATAACAAAATTTAGTATTTTAGCCACTTTTAAGTATACAGTTCAGCAGCATACATTCACATTGTTGTGTAACTATTCACCTCCAGATGTTTTTATTATCCCAGACTGATACTCTTTATCCTTTAAATAATACCTCTCCATTTCTTGTACCTTCCAGCCTCTGGTAACCACCTATGAATTTGACTACTCTGGGTACCTCATGTGTGTACTAAGTTGCTTCTTGTCTGACTCTTCATGTCCGACTCTTTGTGACCCTGTGAACTATAGCCCACAAGGCTTCTCTGTCCATGGGGATTCTCCAGGCTGGAATACTTGAGTGGGTTGCCATGCCCTCTTCTAGGGGATCTTCCCAACCCAGGGATTGAACCCAGGTCTTTTTTGTCTCCTGCATTGGTAGGTGGGTTCTTTACCACTAGCACCACCTGGGAAGCACTGGATAACTCATATCAGTAGAATAATACAGTATTTGACCTTTTGTGTTAGCTTGTTTCACCGAGCTTAATGTCTTCAAGGTGTATCCATGTTGTAGCATGTGTCAGAATTTCTTTTTTTTTAATTTAAGATATAATTGATATGTAATATTTTATTAGTTTCAGATGTACAACATAGCGATTCACTTTTTAATAGATTATACTCTGTTTTGTTTAAAATTATAAAATATTGGCTATATTCTCTGTGCTGTATAATATATCTTTGTATCTTGTTTATTTTATACATAGTAGCTTGTACTTGTTCATCCCCTACCCATTTTTTGCCCCTCCCTCATCCATTTTTTCCCACTGATAACCACTTGTTAATTTTCCAGGCGAGAATATAAACTAGTGGTTACAATCCATAGGGTCCCAAAGAGTCACACAGGACTGAAGCAACTTAGCACAACCAGTTGTTCTATTAGGTATATCTGTGATGAGTTTGTTTCTGTTTTGTTATATTTATTCATTTGTTTTATTTTTTAGATTTCACATATAGGTAGTAACATATAGTATTTATCTTTCTCTGATTATTTCACTAAACATTATACTTTCCCCTTCCATCTATGTTGTTGTAAATGGCAAATTTTCATTCTTTCTTATGGCTGTGTAATATTGTATTGTGTGTATGTAAGTATATATATATATTTATTTATACACCACATATTTTGTATCTATTCATTTGTTGATGGACAGTTATGTTTCTTCCATATCTTGGTTATTTTAAATAATGCTGCTATGAATATTAAAGTTTGATATTGTCTTTTCAAATTACTGTTTTCTTTTTCTTTGGCTATATATGCTCAGAAGTAGAATTGCTGGATCATACGGTAATTATATTTTTTTCAGGAACCTCCATATTGTTTTCCATAGTGGCTGAACCATTTTACATTCCCAACTGTTATAGGGTTCTCCTTTTCCCCACATCCTCACCAGCATTTGTTATTGGTGGTCATTTTTTTGATATCCATTCTGACAGATGTGAGATAATATCTCATTGTGGTTTTTATTTGCATTATCCTGATAATCAGCAACATTGAACATTTTTTTGTGTGCCTGTTGGCCATCTGTATGTCTTCTTTGGAAAAATGTCTATTCAGTTCTGCCCATTAAAAAATTTGATTTTTTGGCTTTTTGATATTGAGCTGTATAAGCTGTTCATATATTAGCTCCTTATTGGATATATCATTTGCAAATATTGTCTCCTGTTCTGTAGTTTGTCTTTTCTTTTTTCTCAGTGGTTTGCTTTACTGTGCAAAAGCTTTTAAGTTTAATTAGATCTCATCTGTTTATTTTTCTTTTGTTTCTTTTGCATGAGGAAACATCCTAAAAAATATTTGTGTCAGAGTATTCTGCCTATGTTTTCTTCTAAGAGTTTTATGGTTTCCTGTCCTACATTTAGGTCTTTGATCCATTTTGACTTTATTTTTGTATATGGTATAATCATAGTTGTTGTTGTTTGGTTGCTAAGTTGTGTCCAATTTTTTGCGACCCCTTGGACTGTAGCACACTAGGCTCCTCTTTCTTTCTTTCTTTCTTTTTTTTTTTTTTAGGCTCCTCTTTCCATGGGATTGCTGAGGCAGAAATACTGGAATGGGTTGCCATTTCCTTTTCCACAGATCTTCCTGACTCAGGGATCAAACCTGCATCTGCTGCATGGCAGGCTGATTCTTTACTGCTGAGCCACCAAGGGAAGCACTATATGGTGTGATAAAATGTTCAAATTTCATCCTTTTACACATAACTGTCCAGTTTTCCCAGCAACATTTATTGATGAGTATCTTTTCACATTGTTTATTTTTGCCTCTTTTGATAGATCAATTGACCATAAGTGTGTGGTTAATTTCTGGGCTCATTATTTTGTTCCATTGATCTGTGTGCCTGTTTTTATGCCAATACCATACTGTTTTGATGACTTACCTTTGTACTGTAGTCTGAAGTCAGGGGATGTAATAACTCCAGCTTTGTTCTTTGTTCTCAAGCTTTCTTTGGCTATTCTGGGTCTTCTGTGGTTCCATATAAATTTTAGGATTATTTGTTCTAGTACTCCTAGATATTTTCATAGAGATTGTTGCATTGAGTCTGTAGATTGCTTTGGATACTATGGACATTTTAACAATATTAATTCTTCCAATCCATAAACACGGTGTATCTTTTCATTTCTTTGTATCATCTAAAATTTCCTTTGTCACCATTCTATAGTTTTCAGAATATGTCTTTCACCTCTTTAGTTGTTTGGGTTTTCTTTGGATGCTGTTTTAAATGGAATTGGTTTTTTTGCTTTCTGTTTCTGATAGTTCCTTCTCCAGGGAATCTTCCCGACCCAGGGATCAAACCCAGGTCTCTTGCATTGCAGGCAGACACTTTACCCTCTGAGCCACCAGGGAAGCCCATATAGAAAAGCAACAGATTTCTGTATATCAACCTTGTGTCTTGCAACTTTACTGAATTCACTGATGAGCTCTAGTAGTTTTTTGGTAGAGATTTTAAGGTTCTGTATGTGTAGTATCATGTCATCTACAGATAGTGACCATTTTACTTCTTCTCTTCTAACTTGGAAGCCTTTTCTTTTTCTTCTCTGATTGTTGTAGCTAAGACTTCTATTACTGTTGAATAGAAGTGGTGAGAATGGGCACCCTTGTCTTACTCCTGATCTTCGAGGACCACTTTTCACTGTTGAGTATGATATTAGCTGTGGTCTTGTCATCCATGACCTTTATTATATTGAGGTATAGTTACCTGTATACCCAGTTTGTGGAGAGTTTTTTTCATAAATGGATGTTGAATTTTGTCAGAAGCTTTTTCTGCATCTATGGGGATCATGATTTTTATTTTCCTGTTGTTAATATGGTACACCACATTGACTGATTTGTGGATATTGAACTTGATCATGGATATTCCACTTGATCATGGTGTATGTTCCTTTTTATGTATTGTTGATTTGGGTTTGTTAATATTTTGTTGAGGATTTTGACATATAATTTCATGATTATGTTGTACCTTGGTATGGTTTCCTCATGTTATGTTTGGTTTTATTAAGTTTCTTGGACATGGTGGTTTGTATTTTCATCAAATTTGAAAATTTTTTGGTTATTATTCCCTCAAACATATTTTTTTTCCTCCCTTCCTCTCTACTCCTGCTGGAATTCCAATCCCATATTAGGGGTTATTAGCCTGCTTGTATTGTTACATAACTCACTGAAGTTTTGTTCCTTTTTTTCAAAGTCTTTTATCTCTAGGTGTTTCGTTTTACTTTCCATTTCTGTGTCTTCAAGTTTACTAATTTTTTGCAATTTCTAATTTTCCATATTTTAAATTCCATATATTTTTCATCTCTAGACTTTCAGCTTGGATCTTTTTTATATCTTTCATTTCTCAATGTTGTCCTAATGCTTTCCTCTACCTTCTTGGACATACTGAGTATATTTACAGTAGTTCCTTTAACTTTTTTTTCTTAATTTTTATAATCTATGTTGTTTCTGGGTCCATTGCTATTGATTAATTTTTCTCTTGACTATGGGCCATAATTTCCTGCTTATCTACATGACTTACAATATTTTAATACACACCAGATATTATAGATTTTTTATTGTTGAGTATTGGGTTTTATATATACATATAAATCCCCTTTAAATTCAGGAATTTTGTCTTCAATGTAGTTAACTCTCAGTTTGTTTGATCCTTTGTTTTTTTGAAGGCTTGCTTTTAAGCTTAGTTAGGGCAGTATTTCATGTACAGCTAATTTGGTTTGATTAGTAGGGCAGTACTCTTCTTATGATTTTACATTATTATTCTACAATACTGCCATTCAGCCTATGGATTAGGAAGTCTTTCCACACTGGCTGATGGAGACACAAGCTATTCCTTTAGGAATTTTTTTTTTTTGAAGGTTGTTCTACATACTCCTTTCTGGTGCTTCTTTTTCTGTTCTTGATGGTTTTCTCTCCCATGTGTATACTTAACCAAAGACTAGAAGGTACCTCTGCAAACCTCCAGAGCACTAGGTTTCTGTGTATCTGCCTCTTCTCTGATAATTTGCTTCACACATTTTAGCTGCCTTGGCCTCTCTGAACACTGAAATCTGTCTCAACTCACAGACAGCTTATTTCTTTGTTTTTTTTAATAGGAAAATAAAAGTAAAGTAATTTATTTTTTATTTTATTTTATTTTTTTTAATGTAGTGGACAATTGTTCTTTATTTGATTATTCACAATCTATCCCCTTGTCTTCTTCTTCTTTTTTTTTTTCATTTATTTTTGTTAGTTGGAGGCTAATTACTTCACAGCATTGCAGTGGGTTTTGTCATACATTGACATGAATCAGCCCAGACAGCTTATTTCTTTTGGAGTCCCCTTCACCACACTCACTTTGCCTAGCTGGTTAGCTGGGTTCAACTTGTTTGTTTTTCTTTTTTTCGGGGATTACTCTTCTGTACTGATTGTTATCCGATGTTTGAAAACAGGGTGTTTTCATGTATTTTGTCCAGGTTTTAGTTTTTTAAGGCTGAGATGCAAATTCTGTTCCTTTTATTTCATCAAAGATGGAAGCAAAAGTTCCTTCTCTTGGATTTTTGTCCTACTGGTTTGTTGCAATCTTGTCAGCTCTTTGATGTTTTTAAAGATTAAAAACATATTCATGTTTAGTTCTTTTGAATGGAAAGTTTGGTTCGGATAGCCTAGGCTTTCATTATTATAAATGGAAGTTCTTATGTCCTTTTCTTTATTTTTTTAAATTTTTATTGAAGTATAGTTGATTTACAATATTGTGTTAGTTTCAGGTATACAGCAAAGTGAATCTGTTATACATAAACAAATATCCACTCTTTTTTTAGATTCCTTTCCCATATAGGCCATTACAGAGTATTGAGTAGAGTTCCCTGTGCTGTACAGTAGGTCCTTACTAATTAACTATTTTATATAGAGCAGTCTGTATATGTCAATCCCAATCTCACAATTTATCCCTCCCCCACCCCTCATCCCCTGGTAAACTTGTTTGTTTTCTACATCTGTGATTTGACTTCTGTTTTGTAAAAAAGTTCATTTGTACCCTTCTGATGTCCTTTTCAATTAAAAAATGAAATAGAAAAAGATTCTATGATATCCTCATAAAAATAGAACAGTTGAATGAGAGGAGGTGGATAATGTTGTGGTTCTTCTGAACAGTCAAAAGGATAAAATAAGGATGCTGGGACATATTTTAGGTAGGCCTGGGTTGAATTCTCAGACTTGGCCCAGTTTTGCATGATAGGGATACTAGATGGTAAGTTACTAATAGACCAGTAGGTAGGATTCTTACAGTAGAAAATAATGAAATAAATTGAAAGAAGCCATAGTGGGACAGTTATGATCAGTTGTTTTGATTTTCATCTAGGTATTGTACATCTCCTCATTTTTCTACACCATCAATTATATCTGGTATCTGTACAAAGAACTGAGGATGAAACCTAGCCAGAGTGCACAGAGGACATTTTCACTGGTAAGTTTTATTCAGAGCTGATAGTTAAGAACAGTATGCTAAAATAAATCCACAAGTCCTTGACAAATAGTTTAGCACTTAGCACCGACTAGGTGAATTCATTGGAGTTGATAAAAGAGAAAACTCATGGAGTTTCCACTCTGTTGACATGATTTCTCTACTCTTGTGCCACCATCACCACCCCTGCCGCCGCCACCACCACCACCAACAGGATTTGATTATGGGAAACATTATTTACAACATTACCATTCCTGCCTGGTTCCTTTCAGTGAGGGAAATCCTTCTTGGCTCTGTGCCAGTCCATCATTGTTAAAGAAGATCTTGGTGAGCAGGTAGGGAAAATGCCCCGCTAGCTAACATGGGATTTGGGTTGTGGGTATTGGAAAGGCAGAGTGTTGCGCTCTGAAGTATTTTGTTGGTTTATGTGGGTAACGCATACTGGTTTGCAGAAGGGCAGAGGAATAAGTGCATGGTAATTAGAAAACAAGATGGATCCAGGAAGCAACCCGTTCCTTCTTTGATTCACAAAAGAGTTTTGGACACTGTCTAGCATTGCAGAAAGAGACAGAGAACACTTGGTAAATAAGTCAATATACCTGGATCCTTTTCTGTGTATGCATATCTTACATATATCACATAATTCACCTGTTTCATGTGTACAATTCAGTGTTTTGTTTTGTTTTTTAATTCAGTGGTTTTAAAAGTAAACTTATCAGGTTGTAAAATTATCATAAATCAGTTTCAGGATATTTTCTTTACTCCAGTAAAATCCTTCATGCATATTTACTGTTAATTTGTTTCCCATACCCTGCCCTGCCCTTGTTGTTCAGTCACTAAGTTGTGTTTAGCTCACCCTGCTCTAGGCAACCGCTAATACACTTTCTGGCTCTATAGATTTTCATTTTCTGGACATTTCATATAGATATTTTATATATCATACAAAATATTTTGGTGTCTGGTTTATTTTATTTGGCATAATGCTTTTGAAATTCATTCGTTGTATATAAGTAATTCATTCCTTTCTATTGATAAATAGTATTCCATTGTATAGTACTCTTAGTTCCTTATTTCTGATTCTTTAAGTAAATCACTAGGTAATTTAGCAGAATACATTTTTATGTTGTTATCATTGTTCATTTCTTCAACTGTCTTTGTGTGTATTTTATCTTACTCAATAGTCTAGTCCTCTTATTTATGGCATATCCATTCTGTTGTGGCTTTTTGAAGGAGAATTTTTGTTCAGGAGCACCATGGAATAAATGAATCTAGAAAGCCTCCCAGCATATTTTTTCCAAAGCCTACAGTTCTAGAACAAATGAAAGTGGTATCCTATCATGCAATGATGAAACGCAGCAAATGTTTGTTGAATGAATAAATGGTATTATAGCATTGTGAAAAGAGCATTTGAAAGTAAATTGGGAGATCTGTCCTCTAAACCTCTTTCTGTCATTATATCTCTTGTATGACCTTGGGCACATCATCTTCCTTTCTTGGGCCTCAATTTTTCATCATAAAAATGAAGTGCTGGGGGACTTCCCTCATGGTCCAGTAGTTAAAAGTTCACCTTCCAATGGAGGGAACATGGGTTCCTATCTTCTAGATAGATCTTATATTCAAGGTGCCTTTTTTGATTCTGTCTTATACTAACCCTGGGCTGTTAATGGTTTCTGCTGGTCATCTTACACATAGACTTTTACTCCACGCATAAGGTCTGAACAGTTTACACCTCCCTTGATCTAAAAGAGGAGAGGATTGAGCAGTTATTAGAAGATGAAGATTTACTATGTAATTTCATATTAGCGTTTCTTCTTAAGAGAATTTGTTGTGGTATCCAAATCTTATATTAAGCTACTTCCTGCAGGCCCTCTTTGTGGCTACTGGTGTATTTTTTAATATACAATAATACAGATAAAATTTTCTTTATGTTCAGTGCTAAGGAACTATTCATTTCATTTACTTTTTTATCAGATGTTGCTTAACTGAAGCAAACCTGCTATTGGGAATTTTTGTGCTATCAAATAGTAAGTGATGACCTGGTCTTATTTTAATATTATTGGCAATATCCTAAGACATTACTCACATTTATTATTTTCATAGGCTATAGATTATACCTGCCAAATTGGTCAAACAGCCATCATTTTGTCCAGGTAAGATTTTTTTCCTTCCTAGCATGGTGTAGACTCATTATTCTTGGGTCCAGGTGGGAACAATTAAAAGGACAGAGCTCTTATTTCCGTTCATTCTGTCACTCCTTGGTCCTCACATAACTTTACTGAGTAGGAAGCAACAAATATGTAATCACTGATTTCATTTTCCCAGGTAAAATAGGCAAGCAATTTGAAGTTACAGATTGGGTGTTAGCCCCAGTTCTGCAGTTAACTGTATGTGACCTTGAGTGAATATTTTTCCTTTAAGTCTTTTGCCTTCTAATTCTTTTTCATATATCATGAAAGCTATAATAGATAATTTTCAAGAACTTATTCACCTTTATAACAGTGGGTGAGACTCTTTTACTAAACTCAGAAAGGATCTGGATCTCACCTAAAGTGATGGTCACATTGAGTTGATTTTAGATGTTGTTCTCTTTTACTCCTGTATCTTTTCCAGTTATAGAAATCTGCATATATTAAGCTGGATAAATAACTGTTTGCCTAAGGCTGTGTTTTGGAAAAATTCTCAGGGAACAGACAGATCACACAGCTCTTTGGTAGATTTTTTTCATTTCATTTTGACCCACTTGGTTTTTTAATCTGATGGTGCAACTCCCTGAGTGCATGCTTAGTCACTCAGTCTTGTCCGACTGCGACACCATGGACTGTAGCCTGCCAGGCTCCTCTGTCCATAGAATTTTCCAAGCAAGAATACTGGAGTGGGTTGCCCTTTTCTGCTCAGGGAAACTTCCCAACCTAGAAACTAAACTCACATCTCTTATGTCTCCTGCCTTAGCAAATGGATTCTTTACAACTTTGCCACCTGGGAAGCCCACAGCTCCCAGAGACTCTCTGTGAAAATCTGTTAGGTTTTATTAACCTAGATATAAAATGTATTTCCTGCTTCATTTCACTAGGAACTTGAAAAGAAAGTATACTTAAAGTTTTTAAAGTATTTTTCTTGAAGAAATGAAATGTGTTTGTTTTCATGGAGAGTGGGTAGGGTAATGGTATTGGGAGAAGGATAGGAGAATATTTTGCACAGGGAAAAAGGCATAAAAAAGTCTGAATATTAGGGTGATAATTTTTTTTCCTCCCAGTCTGATACCTCTACTGTTGATGGTACCTGTATTCTGTTTGGGCAATGTCAGTGAATGTTTCCGCAACTTCAGCCAGAGCCACAGGTAAGTAAGGACCAAACCTATCATTTTCATGGTAGACTACACCTATTCTTTTCTATAAATTAAGATGGAAGAAGACTTTGTACATCCATGCTGGCCAGGGTACTTGTATTTTAAATGGGCTATGGTTAGGGGCTATAGTCAAGGCTAAAAATACATTAGGTAGAAATATGACATAAAATGACTAGATGAGAATGTATCAGTGAGAAGGAACAAGGTATTATGGACAAGGCTCAGCTCGATGATAAGTAAAATTATATACTTATTAACTTTTGTTGCACCAAATGGCTATCTCTCTGGTCTTACACCTATAGCAACACTCCTGACCACTGATTCTCTTCCTAGGTGTATCCTGATGTACTCACCACCACCAGCCATGGCTGAGCTCCTGCCTTCTGCCAACACAGCAGTCTGTAGAGCTCTGTATTTTTATGGACTCATCATTTTCCTGGCCAGCTTTGTACTCAGCTTCTTTGCCATTGTGGTACCGTACCTCCCTGTCTGCCTTTGTGGAAAGTGGGGTGGGGCAGGCTGAGGTGGCGCAGTATTCACGGGCCTGGGAAAGATGTGGTACAGAGGTACTTCTTAGAGTCCTAGAACCAAGAAAGTGACTGGTGCATACTGGTAATTTAATTACTTCCGCAGTCTTTTGTACTTCCCAAGGTCAAATGATGAGTGGGGAAAAGAGCCTATATTCATTAGGTGAGAATTATGCTCACTCTAGAACTAGTATGTGTTCCTGTGGATCCTCATGAAGGACAAGACCAGAAAACTAGTGTGTGTCAAGTATATTCTTTATATAGTATGATTTTCTGGAGCACAGAAGATGTTCTTTGATTTAATTTTCCAAATAGAGTTTTCTTTTCTCGGTTCTTTATTGAATATAAATTTGCGCTTATCCTATATCTAACTGAACTTAAAGTGCTTAATGGTTCATACAGTTACTAAATACTCCTTTGATATCATCAGAATGATGGACAATTAAATAATCATCTGTGGGACAATATATTATTTATATATAACTGCCTAGGACAAAATCAGTAAGCAAGGAAATATGCCTTTTTATTTGCCAAATCTACTTTTCAATATCATTTCTCCTCTTTGCATGCTAGTTCAGGGATTACAAATTATGCTTGTAGACCAACTTTATCCCACAAATTTTTTTCTTTTTGCTAGCATACCTAGCATGTGTGAATGAAATGCAATAGTGGAGTATTTTCTTTGATAATTCAAAAATAAGTTATGGAGGTAGCTTTGATCAAATCAGCAACTTTGTAAAGAAAACACAGTGACTACTTTATGTTAAAATGGCCTTGATGGTTTTCACTTAGAACTGATTGACAGGAGAGACAGGTCTCCCAAAACATGGGAACCTGGGGATTCCTGTTTGCTCCTTCAGAGTAACCCAGACTTCAGTGGACATTCAGAACTGGCATTCTGATTCTTTTTTAGTCAGCAGATGGTGAACTGATTTCTACTAGACATAAATAATCTCAAATCAAGTTTCGTCCTCCTTTTGATTCCTGTGCCTCTGGGTAAAGGAAAATACATGACTGAACTTAAGGAATAGGGTTATTAACTTAGACAGTAGATCTGGATTATTGGAAAAAAGTTTCAGATTTGGTCACATTTTATTTTTTTGTTGTTTTCCTTGGTTTAGTCATTAAAGTTGTGTCCAACTCTTTTGCAATTCCATGGACTATAGCCCCACCCAGGCTCCTTTGTCCATGGGATTTCCCAGGCAAGAGTACTGGAGTGGGTTGCCATTTCCTTCTCCAGGGAGATCTTCCCAACCCAGGGATAGAACCCGCGTCTCCTGCATTGGCAGGCAGATTCTTTACCACAGAGCCACCTGGAAAGCTCAGGTTTATTACCTAATTTACTCCCCCACAGAAAAGATATTTAACTGATTTATATTTATTTCGTTAACTAAAGCGTATTCAAATTGCTCCCAATTGGAAGGGAAAAACAATCTGTTTTCCATCTAAAGATAGTAAGAAACTTCCTAAAACTGTTTTTGTTGGAAGCTGAGAATATTAAGCTCTGTCAAGTGCTAAAGTATTTATTTAAAAGGTATTAAGCTAGAACACTGTCTAACACAACCTCTAAGAAAGTGTTTTACAAGAGAATCTGGTTAGGTCTTAGTTTAACTTCCCATGCATATTGCAAGTAACCTCACTGAGAAAAATTAAAGCCTTAAGGTCAATGTAAATTTTACATACTGAACATGATAACCACAAGTTTGACTAACATTCGTCCATTTCCCTGGCCAAGCAAAAGATCACTCTGGAGAATTTTCTCTCAAAAAAAGAAAAACCTGATCTCAGATGGCAAAGACAATAATGCTAAGAGGATGGTCTTCTCTGCTGTCAGATCCTAAGAGAAGGCTCTCTCCAAAATGACAGACCAGACAGGGAAGTTTTAGTAAGCGTTAGGCAGACTACTCACTGGTATAACCCATGTTTAGGTCTTACTCATTCAAGCCCAGACACTTTACAAGAAGTTCCTGAAATCGACTGGCTTTCTGGGGAGTGAACAGTGGGCAGTGATTCACATCATGGAGCTGCGAGTACGCTTCTACCCAGTGGCCTTCTTTTGCTGCTGGAGCCCAGGTGGGTATCTTAACTGAAAGATCTGGGCAGTGAAAAGGGTAATTGTTACACTGTAATCAAGCAAAGTAGTTTCACCAAGAAGTTTGACTACAAATTCCTGTCCAGCATATAAAATTGACTTTGGTCCTACACATATTTCGTTTTTCTCAACCTCCTTAACTTCTTTTCCTTCTTATGTTTTTAGAAATTGAGATAATTAGACGTGAAATAATATGAGAGGAAATGTCATGACAGAACTCAGAGATATTAACACCTGCCCTTCCTACTATACAGTTATAATGTGAGGATCACATTTGATAATATTTATGAAAATGCTTGATAAACATAAGTTAAAAATTGTAACTTATGTCCTTCCTATAGTATGTCTTGCTTCCATTACTACTCTTAATAATCTGCAAAGTTTAATCACTGAGGAATAGCAGTGGAGACCTGCTATTGGAGGAGACCAGAAGCCAGTGGTTTATATAACTGGTTTATCTCACTGCTAGTCTTCATTATATCTATAATTCTCACAGTGCTTAAGTGTTTATACTGAAAAAAATGTATGTACAGGTACCCAGAATTGGCAACAAGATCTGTGCTTCATGTTTTCACAGCTGTCATTCTGATGATCATAAAACTGACAAAACTACAGGACACCAAACTTCATATGGCCCTCTATGTTCTCCAGGTAACATCTTCAAAAAAACACCCAGCATGTCTGTTCTTACACTTTCTTATCCTGTTCTCTTACACTGCCAAAATTCAGTAAGCACATTTTCCCCTCCTTAGGGTATTTCTTTTTACATTGCAAGAGAAAAATATATTATTTACATTCAGTCCTGAAAAATGTGAAAATTTCCTCATTGATGACGTAGATATCTTTATGAAAGTGCTGCCATGAATTTCAGAGCTTGTGTGTCTCTAGCCAATTTCATTTTATTGATGTGTTTTTTTAAGGGATGGGTAACAAAAGACAAGCTCTACCAGGTAATGTTCTTATGAAACACTAATAGTGACATGATTGTCTCTCATCCAGAGTGAAATGAATAGATAAATTAGCTGTTCTAGGTGAACAGAAAGAAAGAAACAAAGAAAAGAATGATTCCTTCCCTCCTTGTCAGATTTAAGTAGGTTTTTTGGGCTCTCAGACTATGCTGCTTGGCAGTTTCCTCAAGTGTAACTCAGGAAATGGGGCAATAAGGTGGGACATTGAAACCACTTCATTGTCTGTATGTATATAGTAAGAAATATGACTAACTCTCATGACAAAGAACAGTGTGAAAAGTGAGTTCAGGAAGAGATGAAAAATGGTTTTTAAAAAGAGCAACACCAAATCTTGATTTTTGAAGTGAATATAACAATGATTATAAATAAGAGGAATGGAACTCTTCCCCAAATCTCTGAAAACCTGAAGGATGGGCTCCATCACCCCTTCATCTCCTCCAGGCTCTAACAACATCATCTCAGGGTCTGCTCAACTGTGGAGTATATGGCTGGACACAGTACAAGTTCTACCAACTAAAGCAAGAAGCTCGGCGTGATGCAGACACACAGACACCATTATTATGCTCACAGAAAAGATTCTATTGCAGGGGCCTAGATCCGTTGGAGTCAACTCTTGCTTTTGCTACTAGCACCTCTACCATTCTTTGAAACTATAAAACTAGAACATCCAGAACTGGAATTATTCTGCACTAATGGTTTGGGCAGAGTGTTTGCGGCCAACATCTTAAGTCTTTTCTAACCGTGCCTTAAGATATAGAAGTGAAAGAGAATATACTACCATGATTAGTAGCTACTCTAGTTGAAGTGGGTGGAATCTATTATTCTTAGATTCACAGATTAAGTCACTGTTCAGGGAGATGAAGCTACTTTCCACCTAAGAGATACACTCATATTACTTGAATAGATATTAGATTTGTGGAGTCTCTTCTGGAAAAAAATAAATTCCAAGTTATTATTAGTTATTATTTATACAGAGTATTTCCAGGCCCTCTACTGTGGTTGTGGGAGAAGCAGTGTGGCATGTGACAACTTTCTTAGACATTTACATTGCTCTTCCTTCCATTGTACAAAGAAAGTCCTGGTTTTACATTCTTTGAACAGAGTTTTGGAAATTCAGAAAAAACAAGGACAGAAGGTGTCAAAAAATTGATAGGGAGATCCTCAGACACTCCACATCCTAGTCTCATGTATATTCCATGCTGTTCTAGGTCTTAACAACAGAAACCATTCCCTTCTAGAAAGTTAAGGCCAGTCTTTTGAAGTTACAGTGGATAATAAGATTTAAGAGAAATCAGGACTAAAAACTGAATCAAAAACTTCTCAATTTACATTTATAAGCAGAAATCCTAGGTTGTAGGTTTCATAGTGCTTGGATGTAGAATTAGATTGAACATTATGAACTTGCCATTTTTTTAGGTTAAAGTGGTCTAATGTCGTCTATTTTACATGGTTCAACCTGACTGGAAGTGCTAAATATATGTTTATTGAATAAATGAATAAACATGTGAATGAATGACTAACAAGTAGAATTGAACCTTTGGAAAAGAAAAGACTCCCACACTGAAGAGGCTCGTTCATGGGTAGGGATGTTTAATGTTTCTTCCTCTTTAGTCACGTAACAAATGATGTTTGGTCTCTCCAGTTTTCATGAGCAAAGCCAAACCAGGGCCAGGGCATCAGATGCTGTGATGCCTAAACAAAGGGGAAAGCCAAATGGACAAAAACTAGAACGATAATCAACTAAAACACCTGGAATGTTTATTAAATCAGATACTTTTCGCCTAATATATTTCCTTGGCCTATGCAAGGTAATATCATTAAGATTAGAGAAAATTGACAGAGTAGATTATAATGGGAGATAAAACAGTATACAATATATTAGAAATATATTAGATAATATGTTAGAAATCAGTCCTGAATATTCATTGGAAGGACTGATGCTGAAGCTGAAACTCCAATACTGTGGCCACCTGATTCGAAGAACTGATTCATTAGAAAAGACCATGATGCTGGGAAAGATTGAAGGCAGGAGGAGAAGAGGACAACAGAGGATGAGATGGTTGGATGGCATCACTGACTCAATGGACATGAGTTTGAGCAAGCTCCAGGAGTTGGTGATGGACAGCGAAGCCTGGTGTGCTGCAGTCCATGGGGTCGCAAAGAGTCGGACACGGCTAAGCAACTGAACTGAACTGAAGACAGTATACTCTGAAAAGTAAGTACCAGAGATCTTTCCAAAGGAATTCTCAATAGAAATGTTGTTCAGTTGCTAAGTCATGTCTGACTTTTTGCAATCCCATGAACTGCAGCATGCCAGGCTTCCCTGTCCTTTACTATCTCCGGGAGTTTCCTCAAACTCATGTCCATTGAGTTGGTGATACCATCCAACCAATAGAAATGTTAGGGAACTCAATAACAGCTCTTTAGGTTTTAGGCCATGAGCTTCAGCCTTTCTAAAGATGGTAACCTGACCTCATTCTATCAAGATATATTGAGGCCTCTCAGGGCCTGTAGCACAGATTTTTGGGTAGCACAGAATGAGAAGGATACCTCACCTAGAGAGCTGCCTTCACTTCTTTTAATTTAAAAACTAGTAAGAATTCAGTGTATAGAAAGACAGATGGAAACAAGAATTCTCCTTTCGATAGGCCTTGAGGGATACCTGAAGTAAGGAGCCCATTTCTTAAAAAGTCCTTCATAAGACTTTATTTCCAAAAAGAAGATAATTATCGAATGTCGGTCAGGTTTGTTTATCTTCTCTGATGAATTTTTTGCATTGACACTGGTCTTGGATATTCTATAGATGTAGCAAGCAAAAAGATAGTAGGAATGAAAAATAATATAAGGTTAGGAAAGATTAGGATTATAAGCTCTTCATTATACTGAGAGTAGGAGGGCCACTATTCAAACTACCCCTCTTGCCCTTGAATTCACATGTAGGAGGGGCATAGACATAGATACAGTGGCAGTTCTTAAAATTTCTGCAAACACCCCTCCCGTGACTCTGATACTTGTCTAGGTTGCAGTCCTAGTGGGATACAGTGATATCTATGCAGCTTTGATTAATACAGATCTTTCTTGGACCACATGTTGTATCATCCTTCACCTTCCGCTCATTAGCCCTGTCTGTGGCTTCAAAAATCTCTGTATTGCACCACCACGTGTCCTGCATGGGGAAGTGGGTAAGTGTTTGAGGTTTTTTTCAATGCATGAGAGTCTTTGGATATTTTCACATAGGCACCTCCCACATTTTACATCTTTGGCGTTGCACTGGCCGAAGACTTCACTGCCACATTTCCAAAACCTGTCTTCCTTGGTATTCATTCACATTAGCAACTTTCCTGGGCAACCTTTGTACCCCTTTCAAAGATTTTAACACAGAGATTCTCTAGGCTTCAACCCTGGCCTTGCCAACAATAACCTTGTTCCTTGCAAAGGGTGCCATTTTGCTTGTAGATATCTGTGTGGCACCACGTGGGGTGCCATTACAGTATTCTGGGAGGTCATGCTCATCCACACTGAGGTGGCAGGGTGTTGTTGTCTTTAGAGATTTGTGGTTTTCGCAGCAAGATCCAAATGCAAAATCTGAACCCTTCTTCAGCTGGCATGAGGGCAGACAACAGTGATTCTTTTGAAGAACACTGCCATGGTCACATTCTTCGCCCTTATCTACTGTCTTTTTCCCATAGTATGGCTTTCGAAAGAAGCTTTGGGCCTCAGATTTATTAAATAGGCAGCCCTTTCTGTGCAACAACTTGCGGAAATAGGGAAGCTGCAGTTGCTGAAGCTCATATCTACAATAATAAATTCATGGGCCGTATAGAGATTCTGGCCATGGAATTTGCAGACCACATGGTCATGCTTCATTCCCAAGTGATGGCCAACCTCATGAGCTATGAAAGATGTGAAGTTTGATGTATCTTTTTGAAAGATTCATCAAGGTTGCATTCTTGGCAGTGCAGATACCACAGAAATAAGTGCATGGCCCAGGTAATTCCCCAAACTTTGGCCAGCAGTCATATGAGCAGCATCATGTTCACTTCTCCCAAGAGATGCCAGTTTCTCTAGTGGTTAAAATTTTTAAGTGTTTCCTACAAATTTAGGAAGATTTGCACAGTGGTTTTTTTTCTGTCCATATCTTTGACTTAGAAAGTACCACTTTCATGTTATATCCTGGTGTACCTGTTGACCAGTGGAGAAGGAAATGGCAACCCAATCCGGTATTCTTGCCTGGAGAATCCCATGGACAGAGGAGCCTGGCAGACTTTTAGTCCATGGGGTCTCAAGAGTCAGATACGACTTAGTGACTAAACCACCACCACCACCTATTGACCAGAGCATGGAATCTGTTATCATCTTTGGGATCTTGGTAACTTACTATTCCCGCATTTGGAATCACGATCAACCACAGTCAACTTGAACACACTTGGGAAGTGGCCACATATAAGGCATAGGAACTGAGGAAGTCTTGTTCTGTTCTGAAATTGTGAAATGCTTAAGAGTTCCTCTTGTTTATCTTCACGGATTACACAAAACTAACCTGAGTTTGAAGATATGCCATAAACCATATGCTGAGGATGTATAGGCTTGATGCCAAAGACAGTGCCATATAAGGTCAGGATTCCCTTTTGACCTGAGCAAGGGCTGATTATCACAAAAGAATCCAGGTCATCCTCTGAATACTCAGTCATCCTGAATAAAAGCAAGACTAGTTTCCCATTTTGACATGTATGAAGAGGGAACTTGTGTAAAACAGAAACAAATAATCCTTTCTTTTGCTTCAAATTGATAATAATATGTCATTTCCCTTGTTTGGGCAAGACTTTGTACACTTTTTCTGCTGTTGCTTCTTCTCCTCTGAATATCTTCTTCTCCTCTGATCCTGATGATTCCTAGGAAAGACGTTTATAATAAAGAGATTCCCACTACAGTGCATCCCTGGAAGAACAGTCAGAATTACCAGTCAAGTGACACTAGGCTTAATATGGGAAGGGCCCATTCTCAAATGCCCTGAATGGGATTCCTAAAAGAGAAATCACTCCAAAACGTAACCCATTATCACCTGATTTCGTAGAAGAGATAGGAGGCAGGCAAAGTAACAAACTGAGGTCATCATTATCATGGCCCAGGTGAAACAGCAAGTTGATTGTGAGTTGATTTCCCTGGGACACAATTATTTGTCAGTGACACAGTTGTTTGGACAAAGATAAAAACTATGCTGCCTGCAAGACTAGCTGCTCCACCCTCAGAGTGCTACATGATGACACCTACCTTTTGTCTATGTCACTTCCTATTCCTCTCGAGCTCTCGCTCTCGCTCTTTAGGGGTGTCCTCACTTTGTAACCACCCTCAAAAAACAGCAGTTGTAGTACTCTTTAGCCGAGTTCCTGCTGTCTTCATAGAAGGGCATATCAAGGAGAGGAAACTTAGACGTCCAGCCACTACAGTGGTAACAGATCAGGCCCTAAGAAAAGAAAAATATATAACCTTTTCCCTCAGTCCTAGTTTCTGTGGAACAGCCTTCTCCTCCTGTCATCTAGTACGCTTTTGAATTATTGACACTATAAAGTTTCCAGAGCAGGGGTTTGTGGATTTCTGAGTAAGCCACCAGCCTCTGCTGTTTAATGCCGTTTACACCATTCTCTACTCTATATCTTATAGCCCATTTCAAACCTCCAGTCCTTTTCCTTTTTTTACATTATTCACAATATGTTTGTTTATTTGCTCAATCCTAGAATACATGTGGAGTATTTTTTGAGTAACTAACCCAGGCCTCTGTGAAAAGGAAGTCTATCAACTGGAGAACAGAGTTTATGTTCAGTTCCTTTATCTTTAGCCTTACATATGAGGTCAAAATAATGTTTCCCAGAATTATTTAGATTGGTACTGTTTTATCCAGACCTATTCAGTGTGGTCACATTATTCATTTCTATTATAGTTAAGGCCATATGTTACTATTTGTATTTCATTCTGATCTGCTCCCACATTTTGGATGATGCTTATTATTTAGGGGGAGTATGTGAAATGTTACCGTGATTCTAAAAGTCAGTGTGTGCTAAGTTGCTTCAGTTGTGTCTGACTTTTTGTGACACTATGGACTGTAGCCTGCCAGGTTCCTTTGTCCATGGGATTCTTCAGGCAAAAACACTGGAGTGGGTTGCAATGCTCTCCTCCAAGGAATCTTCCCAACCCAGGGATCGAACCCACGTCTCTTACATTTCATGCATTGGCAAGTGAGTTCTTTACCACTAGTGCCACCTACTATACCAAAAAAGTGTACATCTCCTTGAGCCTTTAATCTGTTCCCATGTCCTCATTCTTTTGACTCAGTTTTCAGTCATCAGTCTCAATAGCACTTGGTTTATTTTTCCTGTATTTCTTTCTGCACAAATAAGCAGATACATGTGTATTTCCTTATATTCTCCTTTTTCATATGTAAACGTAGCATAACATTTTCTACTTTCCTTTCTAAACTTAAAGATATAGCTTGTAAATCACTCGTATCAGTTTATAAAAAATCTTCCTCATTCTCTTTTATAATTGCGTAGTATTTAGATTATGAATGTACCATAATTTATTCAGTCACTCTCCTATATGTGGGCTTTTAGGTTGTTTATTTTGAAATTATACACTATCATCAGCAAATAATGTTGCATATATTTTTTTTGTGGAAGAATACTCCTAGAAATGAGAAGATAGTGTTCATACTAATTACATTTGTAGTTTGTCTGATATTCCCAAATATATGAAGGGAACTTCAGAAGCTTTTTGCCACTTTTAATTCCCACTAGCAATGTATTAGAATGCCTGTTTCTCCAAAATCTAAGCAACAGAATATATTGCAATATATCAGTTCACCAAACTGATAGAGTTTAAGATGGCAGTATTGTTTAACTTTTATTTTTTCTAATTTTGAGTGAATTTAAATGTCTAATATGTTTAAAAGCCATTTTTATATCTTTTAATAATTGTTAATATTTTTTTCCTATCAAGCTCTTGGTATTTTTTTCTCCTCAGTTTTCTCCCTATAGCTTTATTGAAGTATAATTCACAAATAAAATTTTATGTATTTGAAGTGTACAACATGATTTGATGTATGTATAATTGTGAAACATTTATTGTGAATATAAATTTTATAAAAGACAATAAATAGAATAGTTTAAATAATTTGGGGAATGAATCATGTGGGAGGAACCACTCTACTGAGTTTCAAGACTGTGTGGTATTGGTGATGGGATAGACACATAGATCAATGGAACAGAATAAAGAATTCAGAAATAGAGAACCCACGTGTATGGTCATCTGATTTTTGACAAAAGGGGAAAAGCAATTCTGTGGAGGGAGAATAGTCTTTTCAACAAATTTTGCTGGAAAAGTGGACATACGTGGAGAAAAAAGAGGAACTTTAACCTAAACCTAACACTTCATACAAAAATCACCTCAAAATGGATCATAGATATAAATGTAAAATATAAAACTTTTTAGAAGAAAACATAGTGTATATATTGGATCTAAGACTTGCTGAAGAATTCTTAAATATGGCACCAAAAGCATGATCCATAAAATTTTAAAATCCATAAATTGGACCTAATCAAAGTAAAAGCTTTTTGTCAAGAACCTTAAGTTGAGACAGAGACACGATGGCAGAGTAGAAGGATGTGAGCTCACCACTTCTTTTGAAAACACCAAATCACAACTAACTACTGAACAACCACCAACAAAAATTGCTGGAACCTACCAAAAATGATCCCTTACATCCAAAGACAAAGAGGCCACAAATGAGATGGTGAAGGTGAAGTGAAGTGAAGTTGCTCAGCCTTGTCTGACTCTTTGCGACCCCACAGACTGTAGCCTACCAGGCTTCTCCGTCCATGGGATTTTCCAGGCAGTGAGATGGTAGGAGGAGTGCAATCATGATAAAATCAAATCCCATACCCACCAGGTGGGCAGTTCACAAGCTAGAAAATAATTATACCACAGAAGTTCTCCCACAGGAGTGAAAATATTGAGCCCCATGTGAGGCTCCCCTGACTGGATGTCTGGCAACAGGAGGAGGAGGCCCCAGAAAATCTGACTTTGAAGGCTAGTGAAGCTTGATTACAGGAATTCCACAGGATTGGGGGAAACAAAAACTCCACTCTTGGAGGGCACATACAAGGTCTTATGTGCACCAGGACCCAAGGAATAAAGCAGGGACCTCAAAAGAAAGTGTTGCTGAAGTTCCAATACTTTGGCCACCTGATGCAAAGAGCCAATGCACTGGAACTTCCCACAGCAACTTCCCACTGTTGCTGAGAAAGATTGAGGGCAGTAGAAGAGGGTGACAGAGGTTGAGATGGTTAGTTAGCATCACCGACTCAGTGGACATGCATTTGAACACACTCCAGGTGGTAGTGGAGGACAGAGGAGCTGGGTGTGCTATAGTTCATGGGTCTGTAAAGAGTAGGGCACGACTTAGCAGCTGAACAGAACAACATAAGAGACTGGGCTAGATTTACCTGCTACTAAAGGAGGATCTCCTGCGGAGATGGGGGTTGGGGGTGGTGGTAGCTGTGACTCATGTCCTGCTGCTCCCTGGGGAGAGAAAAAGGTGGGAAAGGCCCTAAGAGTCTCTGGTCAGAGTTATTGGTGGAGATCTTGTCCTGTATTTGGCCAGTCTGTGAAGACTGAGAGAGGTACCTGGTTTATCTGAAACACAGACACCAACAGAGAAAGTTAAAGAAATGAAGAATCAGGCAAACATGTTCCACATAAAGGAACAAGATCTCCAGAAACTGACTCTAATGAAATGGAGGTATATTATTTACCTGATAGAGAATCCAAAATAACTTATGAAAATGCTCACTGAAGTCAAAGAGAACAGCACATGAACAAAGTGAGAATTTCAACAGGGAGGTGGAAAATACTAAAAAGTCACTAGTTATTTTAAAACTTTAATGGGAATACAAAGATACTACATTGTTATTGTTGTTCAGTCAGAAAGTCCTGACTCTTTGTGACTCCAGGGGCTAGCTAAGTAACTAACTAACCCCATGGACTCCATAACTGAGTCATGAAACTTAAGAACACAATAATTAAACTGAAAAAACAAAAGTCAATAGAAGTGTTCAACATTAGACTAGGTCAAGCAGAAGAAAGGATCAGTGAACTCAAAGACAGCACTGGAAGTAATTCAGGCAGAGAAGGAAAAAGGAAGAATGAAAAACAGTGAAGAAAACTTAAGGATTTTATGCAGTATCATCAAGCCAACCAGTATACACATTTTAGGAGTTCTAATTGGAACAGAGAAAATAAGACCAAACAGCTTGTTAAAAAATTTGAAAATTTCCCAAATATAGAGAAGCAAATGGCCATACATATCCACAAACCCTAGAGATCACCAAGCAAGATGAATCTGAAGATAATTCACACTGAGACGCATATAAACAAATTGTCTAAAGTCAAAGAGTGAACTTTGAAAGAGGCTATAGAAAATTGACTACTCACAATTTTTCTTTGTAAAGAAATGTCCAAAAATTCTCATTAATTTTTCCAGCAAAAACCTTGTAGGCCAGAATGGTATTAAAAAGATATTAGCATTCCCTTGTTCACTGTGACCAAGATTCACAACAAGATAATGTTTTTTTTTCAACAGATACAGAAAATGTGATATATATCATACTATTGAGCCTTAAAAAATAAAGATATCCTGCAACATGTGACAACATGGATGAAACTTGAGGATGTTATGCTGAGTCAAATAGACCAGTCATAGAAATACAAATACCTCATCATTCTATTTACATGAGGTATCTAAATTAGTCAAATTTATAGAATCTGAGAGTTGACTGGTGATTGCCATAGAGTAGGGATATGGTGAAATGGCGCTTTACCCATGAATGATATAAAGTTTCAGTTCTGCAAGATTAATAAATTCTACAGATCTGCTCTACAGCATTGTACCTAGAGTCAACAATACTGTGTTACACACTTAACATTTTGTTAAGAATTGTTGTATTCTTGCCACAATAAGAACTAAGTTAGAAATGTATAATATGGGTACAGAAGATTTTAAGTTATATAAGACTATTTGTGCAACTCCTTCATTATTAAATTTTAAAATCTAAAGGAAAATATGAAAAATTCTTTGTGGAGGTAATATCATCTTAATTTCCTAACTTGATAGAGCTGGCATTTTTGAAAAGTCAGAAATAAACTTCACTTTTTCTGGATGTAGATTAAAACAATTTTAAGAGATGTTAGAAATAAAATCTTGTACAATATTCAAGGCAAACACCATGCTAAAAAAAGTTTATGCCAGAAGCATGAGTTTAGCATTAAGAAATATATTCTCATAATTCATCACATCACAAACTAAAAGAGAAATAAAATGAACATATGAGTACATGCCTAAAAGTCGTTAAAAGTCACTAGCTATTCATATTTTAAAACTTTAATGGGAATACAAAAATACTACATTGTTAT